GGCGATTAATCTGGGAAGCGTCCGTCTCTTAAGCTACAACTCTAACCATAACTATAATAGAAACATTTTATTTATTTTATTGATAAACATGTTGATGAAATTACGATATTTTATATTTAATCATATATTCTTAATAAAAATGCTTAAAAAATCCACCAGCTCCTGGTACTCTGAGATAGGACTCGAAACAACGACCTTTTGCAATCCGATCGATTGCTCTAACCACTGAGCTACCCAGGACCCAACAGGATAGAATTTTTCAAAGTACTAATGAGTATATTTTCCTCAATAATCAGGCAATCCACCCAAACAGCCGAAAGAAATATTTTTACAAATATTTTAAACCTTCGATTTAGATGAAAATGCAAAATTGGTAAAATATAAAAACTTTTAGTTTAAATCATTACGTATAAATAATACTCTTGTTTATAGGAACAATTGATTAATATTTGATTTTTTTTTTAACCCAGGACAATAAGCAGTTTTTCAATATTATCGTATCATTCCTAATTCAATGTTAAACCAAAGAATTAGTGAGTTATTTAAGTGTGTTCCTTGCAGTATTTGTCCTTTAAAAGTGAACGTATTATCACGATTTATACAACTATATGACTTCATTTAGTGACATAATTGACATGTATATAATTGATTAGATATTTATTATTGATCATAACAAACAATACAAACTTAAATGTCTTTGTCCCAACCCTACAATAATGTACATAATGTATCTATAAATATACACACTTATGCAATGTTTTTAATTTTTTGAGAATACCTCTGTTAAAATGGTACGTTATTGATGCAACAGACCTCTGCTTATGATTCAGCAAGTTGCAGAAGTTCCGCATGTTTTATGACGTCTGTTTTTGCTTCTGGTTCCGCATTTTTCATAACGGAAATTTGTGAAAAGAAGCTTGTTTAATTGTTTGAGGATTGAGGGATGTTCCAGGCGCAGGTAATGATACTTGTTGTGATTCGTCGCTACGTATTTAAAAATTAATACTAATTAAAACTGTGATGATTATGATTTCATAAACAATAAATACATATAAAACAAACACCTTTTTTCATAATATTAACAGTTCGGTCTCTGCAACCGTTTCTGTTTCGGATTCTGCTAAAATTGTATTTTGACTTCTTTTTCTGTTTCTGCTTCGGTTAAGTAGCTTTCGTCGCATCACTAATATACGTACATATACGTAATTATATTAAATTGTTATTCTTAACTCGATGATTTGTAACTTCAGATTTTAATCTATAATAGTATATAAACAAAGGATAATTATTAATTATTTTTAATTACCGTATAGTATAATAAAACATTAATGAGTGTGTGAAAATTTAAGAGCGTGAGAAACTTAAATGTTATATATACGGTCCTTTTATTTAACATGATTCAGTATGACTAATTCAAAAAATCGTGAGATATCTCATTATTATTATTTCGTAATTCTTCTGATATTTACCTACAGCAACAGTGTACGCGCATAGTTAGGTCCCACAGCTACAAATAGGTTTTACCAAGATCTCCAACAATCAAAATATGCAATAAAAAAAAACCCTAGAAGTATTATTAATAAACAACATTTAGCGATGGAGTAATAGGCGTAGCAAGGTCCATTGAAGTAGCAAGTTGGAGCCAGCTGTGGGCCAACCCTAGAAAAATATCCAACCTCATACAAAAAATAACTACGAGTACGTGATTAACAAGATTCATAGCTTGGGCCATGGAACCCCCTAGGAAAATTCCGTAGCTAAGCCAATGAGCCTATAACAATTATTAAAATAATTATTTCTTTATAGTATTATTAGCGTATGATGTAGTTTCTCGTAGGTGAAAAAATGATTTATTATTACGATTGCACACAGTACACGAATGCACACAATACCTCCATGTGTGCCTCCATTATTAATATGGTATTTCCAATTATACGGCTACATTAAAATAATAATACGTCTTCCAATAATAATTGGGTGAAATAATTTTTAAAATCGTTCCTCTAATTTCGGAGCATATTCAAGGCAAATAAACAAACAACTCTTTTCATCATCATCATCAGCCCTTTCACGTCCCCACTGCAGGGACCCAGGCCTTCCTTATGGATGGTTAAGGAGGATGGGCCATGACCCTCCACGCTGGCCCAATGCGGATTGGAGGGTATTAACGACTGCAAATGTAGCCGGGACCAACGGCTTAACGCGCCTTCCGAAGCACGGAGTAGCTCGAGATAATAATTTTTTGGTCACCCATCCCGTGACCATTCGACCCTTGCGAAAGTTACTTAACGACAACGATCGCGGGCCGCGGCGCTTATCCGCTACGCCACCGAGCTACTCTTGTTTGTTTTGTTGTTGTTGTTGTTTGAACAACTTTTTATCTTTATAATATTAGCGCAGAAAGCAAAGATGTTCAGAGTGGTAAGTTTTACGTTAACGCGTTAACTAGCAAGCGCGTTAAAATTTATATGGAGATTTGTAGTTCTTGGTAGTTACCGATAGGGGCGCTGTGCCGTATTCCATACTAAATTCTTAAAGCGCTCACGATCAACGGTGGCCGTAAACGTAAACAAATTACACTAATCGCTCAGAAAATTATTGGAATATTGTATTTGATCTTATAAGGAGTTTTTAAACTCCAGAACATTATGTTATGAAATTGCTTTCATTTATCATAACATGATAATCGTTCACATCTATTATGTTACCTACAATGTAATATAACACGTAGGTCAATGCCAGCGTAAGTAAAAGTTATTATCACTGAATACAATAGCGTAAAGTTCTCAGAATCATTAAACCCAATAATCACATTACAATGAATCGACGGCTCTACCGCGTAACTGTAATGCTGATTGATCTGTCGAAATTAGACCCAGTATATCGGACTGGCTTATCAACTGTCAACAGACCAATCAGAATTGGTCTAGGCAGCCTCGGATCATTTTACCAACCGGGGCAGATTTTTTTTTATTAATTAGTTTACCTACATATATATAATAATAATAGTAACATTTATTTCCCAAAATAACATTTACAAATTTATGATTTACTGGTCCCCACAATAGGCAAGCTAAAATAGATTTGGAATTTTAACAATTCAAGCTAAAATAGAACTGGAATTGTATCGTATGACACTTTGTAGAATAGGAAAACCATTAAAAACTGTAGTTTCGTTCGGTTTCGATCTGTTTTCGATTCGATTTAAACAAAATTTATTTAGTAGAATTGGCCCCCTGACCTGTGGGAACAGTAATCTAGGTTTTTTTTCATTTGATTTAGTACATTTGGAAAAAAAAACTTTGAGAACTGCTGCTCTAGATAAACTAAGCACATACCTAGGAGTACCAAATACAAAGGCTATCAATACCAAATATAATTATCAAAAAATCTACGGAATTATACCTGTTAATTTAATTTATTCTAAAAATGTGTGAATAGAAGTAACGTGTGTTCTGTTTTCTGTTGTCTTTTAGCTTAATATCTGTATAATGCCTTACTATAATCCAGTCGCCATTCAAAGAGACTTTCGTGCCTATTGAGAGATATGGTAAACAGTTTAAGTTTTAAAATAAAAAAAAAAGCACCGTTACCCATTTAATCAGCCCCAGGCCACAAAAACACACATTGATATTTTCTATTAAGAGAGCTTTTTAAATATTTAATGTTGTGGCATTTAACCAGTCCAATTTTCAAGGAAATCCTGAAAGATAGGTAAAAACAATTTTCCCAAGAGTTCATTGCATAAAGCTCCGGACGAGCGGACATACGAACCGGTTTCTATGTATATATCCCACGTTGTTTTATCACGTTCGGTGTTTCAGTGAAAGTGGTCATTACCAACCTTAGTACTTTAAGAGCCATCTAAACGGTAACACTATCTTAAATTATTTTTTTTAATTATCGATTGAGCATAATGTTTTTATAATCAAGGCCTACGTATAGTAATCCAAGTAAAGATGGAAAGATCTCGAATTCTCAATACATTCACTGAATTCAGTTGATCATCGCTTCCTACTAAACAACATTCATACTTATCTTTAGTCGATTATTAGATAATTACTTGATTACAACTAAAAACTTAAGAAAATATTTTTAACAAATAAACTAGAACTTTCAAAAGTTCGAATACAATACAAAGCTTCATTCAAATTCTTGTCTATTGGTTAAAATCCTATCCTATTAATATTATAAACGTGAAAGTTTCTTTGTTGTTTGTTTGTTGATGTTTGGATGTTTGTACGTCAATCACGCCGAAACTACTGAACGGATTTTGATGAAATTTGGTATACAGATAGGGTATTAGCTGACTTAGATAATAGGATACTTTTTATCCCACTAAATATTTCCCTAGGGTCCACGCGGGCGAAGCCACTGGTCCAAAGCTAGTATTTGATAAAGTTATTACTTATTGTCACGTGATAACTTCTTCGATTATAGATATGACGGTTAAGGTAAACATATGCACATTACAACTATTTTGGAAAAACAATTGGGTTGAAATTTTAATCCATTGATGCATACACCCTTATAACTTCCCATCCACTGTTCCACTCAAATAGTGACACTTACCACTCGTAAGCAATAACATGAGGCCTTATTCTATATGTCGTCGAACGAAAATTCTGAAAATTTAAATTAGTGTTGTTATAATCATATCCATGATAATTGTCGGTGCATCAGTCAGTGTCAGGTACTACTTCCGTTCCATTATGAATTATCGGAAATTGCGTTTCTTTGAAGTGGTATTAGCATTTCGAAAATTTATGAAATTTCGTTTAATATATAGGCCGTCAGGTGTCATGTTAATTCGTACGAATAGTAAACATAATACCCGTTGCCGCATTTGACATTACCGACATAACATCCACGTGAGTTTATAAAATATTTCTTATCACATTTCACATGTTGTACATTGTACGAGTAGTTAAAGCCATAAAATTAAATAATCGCGGTAATATAAACTAACGGACGTACCTGTATGTATATGTAAATACAACATGGAATTACACGGTACGGCACGCTAGTGAAAGTACTATGGTCATTTAGCTAACGGGTACAATCACATAGAACAGGGCTTTCAGTTTAATTCTTTTACCTTTGTATTTTAAAAAATACTAAAACTCTATTCCACTTACTATCTATGTCTATGTTTTAATGATGAATAAATATTCTAAATATAAAATTTTGTATCGGTAAAGTCGATTTAAATTGATTAAAATCTTATTGGACTTTTGTGCAACTACTATTAAGTTATTTGGAATTGCCTAAACTATAGTACGCCCAACCTGCGATGCGGAAATTAAGCAACTTTCGCAAGGGCCGGACATATGATGGACGACCAAAAATGTATTATCATAAGCTCCTCCACGCTTCCGTGTCCCTCCATCTGCAGTCATTAACACATACCGATCTGTAATTTTTCGTTAATAATCCGTAAATTCTTGATGAAATATGCTTAAAAAATCCAGTTCAATAATTATATTTATATCTTTGATTACTATATGACTATAATAGCCATAAGACAAACCCAAAATTTAATTTAAAAAATAGTACATAATTGGCACCACTGTAAGTTGAAATTGTCTTTGTCCCTTTTTTATTTATATAACTGATTTCCAAGAAGTATCCGTAATTAATAAAAATATTAACCAACTAACTGTTTTCTCTCAACTTTGCCCGCGTAGGTAAATTATGGCCTTTGTGATCCTAGTATGATGTAGCTTTTCGCCGGTGCAAGAATTTTTAAAATCGTTCTATTAGTTTCGGACTCTTCATTTCCTCTTTTATTTCTTGTATTTTTTTACATTTCCCTTTTAATAATATTATTATACATTAAAATAAACCTATTGGTGAAATTACCTGTATAGGCCGAGCCACAAGTAATAAGAACCTAGCGATAATGACAACAGTGCGTCGTACCACACCGTTTATTTTGTCCTAGGTTCTCGCTAGTGTCCGACCGAAGGTCTATTTTTGGTCGAAGCCGAAGCCGAAGCCGATGGTTTATAATTTCTCAGTAATTAATTTTGTTCAATATTGTCTACAAGCTACAATTAATATTAAAATTATTTCAAAACTTCAATATTGAAGGTTATATTGACTGTCTCATATAGAAGTTGATTTAGAAATATAGATTTGACAGTGAAGGCGCTTGTGCACTACACTGAATTTTCATGTCCGGCGGTCCGATTTTTTCCGGCCTTATATGTCAGGCCATATGTAGGTAATGCTAGCCTGTGCCAGGAATATTTTTCCTGTCTTCTACGTCTTCGCACGTACATAGAGCAAGCAATTATCAACGTTTCAAAAATCTCATGTTTTAGTAGTGTCCGTTCCCTAAAGTTCATAGTAATAATTCAACGGGGTGCTGATAAATTCATTTTTTTTTTACTGAAGGAATAATGTAAGAAAAAATAAGAACCTGCCTAATGGTAGGTTGAAAATTGCTAAGAAATCGTCTTATGTGAGTAATAGATACATCCTATACTATGTTATTATTATAGATGGCGTCAATGTATTTAATTTTATCCAAAACTCGCTACCGCTCGTGAATTACTACTAATAAAAGCGAAAGTACTTAAGTGTGTTTTTATAACTTGATATATTTGATGTATCCATTTCCTTTAATCTTTACGTAACTTTGCAAGATCACCCAGGCTTATTATAAGATGTCGTAATAAGTAGATACATTGTGATTATTCAATAATCCGTATAATTATATCAGACATAAAAAAAATTTATTGCTTGCAATTAAACGACAATACATATAATTTTAACTGGCGTTCAAAATATGTAATGTAAATAATAAACATGTGGATTTATAACACTTCCTTATATTTTAATGCTAGCAGTTATCAACTTTCTCACGACCGGTTGTGCCAATTTTATTAAGACTTAAAGAGTCTGAAAGTATTAATGACGATTTGATATTACGCATTTATAAGACTATAATTGGTACTTTTTAATTAAATAATCTACTTTAATAAAAAATGAGAAATTGGCCCGTTGAGAAAACTTAATATTTATATTTGATAAATTTTGCATTCCCAATGCTAAATTGATACAATCTCAGGTAACGAAATCTCTGAGGTCCATTGATTCCCAGTCGGATTAATATAAAAAATTAACTTTTCTATATTTACTGAAGAATTTCACAAACATATTATGAATATTGCTTAATATTATTATTTTTTGTATCTTACGTAAAGAAAACAAACCATTCCCAAGAAATTCGATTTTTTTATATTAGATTATGTTTCCTTTATCAAAATAAAACCATCCCAATAAGATTTCTTGATCTATATACATATATTTCACGAATGCATAATTAAATTTATTTAACTTCTTTTGCAGGTACAAAAACATCATTGAAGCTCAAAATCGCTGCAACGCTAATCGTTCTGCATTTTGCTCACACACAATCAGCCAAGACTAACGCCAGGCCAGTACACGAAATAATCAACGAACAAGCGAGAAGTGACGATAAAACAAGACATAATAATGCACCTGGAGTACTTCCTTACGGTAACCCACTAGCAGGTAACTCACAGCAAAATGCAAGACTACACGCGCAAAACCAACAAGCAATGTTCAACGCTGAAAGGATAAGACAACATCGAGCCCAGGTACAGAGGTGGACTAAAGCCCCTCTTCCTGTAGACAGCTACATGAAAGCATACCACGAGTCTCAAGAAAGCCACCAAATGGCTGTTGAACAACAACAAGCTAGCATAAGAGACAAGAAAGCACCAAATCCTACTACAAAACCACCCAAAACTAGAATAAGACAAAGCACTTTAAAGAGAGGTGTAAGAATTATCCCAGAAGCAACAAAAGAAGGAAGTGTCAAAGATAAAAATAGAAATCACAGATCGCACGGATCGGTCGACTACCGCCAGTATTTGGAACCGAAAATGTATAAAACTGTTTACGTCTCACCAGCGCCGACTTATGATCAAGGTGTCACTATCAAACCGAATGGCAACATTGGACTAACGTCCCTAAAATCTTCTGATGAAGACGTAAAATTGTTTACAGAGGCTATTCCAAGCAAGACAAGATACGTTTACCCAAAACAATACAACCAGATGCAAATTTATGAATCGGCTAAAGATATCGAAGCTTTGAATGCTTTATTGAAAAAAGCGCCTCAAATTCAAGCAGCGGAATTAAACTCTTTGGTCAATCCAGAAAATACAGAAAGCAAAGATATTCTCGATACACCAATAGATCTATATTTCTATATGAAAGATCCTCCTGTGCAGAATCTAGCTAGCCATTACGACCAAACATATGCTCAAATACCTCCAACTTATGCTAGTTCCTATATGCCATCCTTGGTTAAAGACTACACGCCAATAACAGAAGAAGTCGATGACATTGAAAATCCTGATAAGGACCCTAAAGTGAAACCTTATGGTCTACAATCTGTTTTGGCTACACAGAAACCAGAAATTGAGACGACCTCGAAAAAAAGTAACAATTATTACAAAGTAGAAGTAGCTAGTCAAACCATAAATGCAGGATATAATCCTAGTGAAGTAAATCATTTGAACGATATTGGTAGTTATAAAATTCAAGCACAACCTTTGATACACTACTTGAAGAACCATCCAACGAGTGAAGGAGATTTGAGCGAAAGATATCTTCATCACAACGCACAACATCACGGTATTCAACATCTCTCTGAAGACGGTACAGAAACATCAGCATATGGTGACGAAAGTGTAAGTATAAATAATAATAATGAATCTAAACATCGAAATAAAAGGGCTATAAAGGAACCATCTAATTCTATACCTGAAACAACCGGCCAGATAACAGAAATACCTGTCACTATAGAAAAAAAAGAGACACCAAAATCAGAACCTCTTATTCGCATCAACCCACTGATTAACAATCATAAAAAAGAAATAGAAACTTTTTTGACAACTCCTAATTTTCCCGTCGGTGTTGCTATAGATTATAATACCGATTACGAAAGTGATGTGTCTATTTCTGTTCCTAAAAAAAGGTTAAATCGTGGTCAATACGATTACTCAATTGACGACGACGAATTTAATGATTATTCAGAGGATTTTAATACGCCAGATTACGAATACAGCGGCACTCAAAACTTTAAACAACCCTCTTTATTCAGAGATGGGCATAGACAAAATTACGCGTCAAATTTAGGTTACAATCAAAATACAGACTTGACTACTAGTTTTTCTAATAAATTCAGAAATATCAAACGTTATCCTAATCTTTCGAATAGGGATTTTTACGATTCTCATAATGGATATAATTATGGACCTCCTGCAACTTCCTATGGGGTACCGAACGTTTACGGACATCCTGGTCATCAATATGGCTTACCCCAAAGGTACGGGGTTCCAAATGTAATAGAACCGGTTTATATGTTAACAGAGAATCAGTTGAAAAGTCTGGTTGGTCATCATAACTTAAACATTGAACATTTAGATGTCTATCAACAATATCGCCAATTTCGTCCGAAACCAAAAAAGAGGTACCCTTACCGTCGTTATAATACTAAGAAACATCTTCACAAGTTGCACAAATTAAATATTTTATAATAGGTTAAAGAATAATTCTTTTCGCACTCGAAACTTATTTATTTTTGTAAAAATAATAAACTTTATAGGTTAACTTCTTTTTTATTATACTTATCTTGTTTCAAACACCAAAATTCATAATAAGCACTTTACCAATACAACCCTTAAACTACTAAAAAGTATTATTTGGCAAAAATTAGTAATATTTTGTACACATTTAGTAATTTTTTGGTTGGATTAGGTTAAAATGGTGTTTTTGTACTAAAGCCATTGTAAGTTATCGGACATATATTTATTGAGAGTAGTTATTAGTTGTTCCGATTTGTAGGTACAGATAGACATTCGATATAAGGTGCCATTCTTTATGGAAGATCCCTTCGCCCCTTAAGTAAGAATAAATAAGAAGTACTTTACTTGATGTTTAACAATGAGGTAATATTTAAAAAAAAAGTTCCCGACATGAAACTAGATGTCATTACGGTATGTTTTTGATTTCACCATGACAACCTTTCCGGTTTTCTTTCAAGTTTAAAAGTAAATTGGCTTTCATAACTCAATAAACAACTCATATTCTATTTGTAATTTTTCGTATCTGTATTGATATCTAAGTTTCGAACATTTCAAATTTCGGTTTTTTAATTTGTTAGTTAAAAAGAATGGAAATAACTGTCTTTGGTCCATTTGTTTCCTGCAAAAACTTTTGCTAGTCGCCATCTAGTGGGGTGCTTTTTTAGTGCTTCCGTTTTTTATATAACTTCCTCATTATTATTACGTATGAATATGAAGGAGAAAAACGAATCGGTAATGTATAAAATTCGTTCTTTAAAGAAACAAAATATGTAAAAATTTTGCTTTGTGTAATTTTTATTTTAATATATTTTAAAATTTGCGTTGTTTTAATGCGTTTACGAAATTGACGATATTGATCCCCTTTTTTAAAATAATGCCTCACATAAAAAAAAGATGGCGCTTTATAAAGTTATTTTGTGTTGTAAATACATAACATAGATAGGTAGGTAGTTTCACGCCATGAAAATAAGCCCTCCAATATTGTAAAAACACACTAGTATTTAAGTATTGTGAGTTTATACAAAGAGTATTAAGAAAAATTTATTAGATATTTAAATTTAAGCAATAAATATAATAGGGATAACGACAGGGCAAAATGAATGAATGAATGAATGACTATTTAGTCCGTCAGTCAGATAAGAAATAGCTTAGAGAACAGACATTAAAGTTGAGAAGTGGAAGCTCGCTACGTCGCAGTTTTGTAGAAAATGTACAAAAGCGTGACGTCATGTGACAATTAAACTCAATGTATCTTCTTAAATAATTAAAAAATACGTGCTTAATATTTTTCAACGATCGTCATTCCCTATATCCCTATTATAGGTATATAAAAGATTGTAACTTTAAAACTATCGTAAAAACTAAGGTAGTGTGCAAAAAAGTATCTTTATATCAATATTACAAAATTATAATATAAACGTTTTTTAGCTTTTATTACTTATAACGGATGTAATCTCAGAAATACCTATTTAATATAATATAAATTTATTTCAGTGACCAAAACATATTTCGCAACCAGAAAACTAAACGAACCATTCATTATTGTATATTCAATAGCGCCACGTTTATAATGAGGAAGTGTTTAAAAAAAAAATATTAGTTCCCGAGATCAAACTAGGTGTCGCTACGGTACTTTCCTGATTTCTCCATGACAGCCTTTCCGGTTTTCTTTCATGTATAAAAGTAAATCAGTTTTCAAAACTCAATAAACAAATCATTTTTTATTTGTACTTTTTCGTACTTTGCAAATTTCAGTTTTTTTTATATGTTAATTAGAAGAAACGGAAATGACTATCTTTGGTCCATTCTTTTCTTGCAGAAATCAACTTTTGCTAGAGTCGCCATCTAGCGGAGGTGCTTTTTAGTGCTTTCTTTTTTTTAAATACTTCCTCATTAACCTTCCACACGACCTATTAGACATCCAAAGGCCTAAATTTCTAATTTTAAAAATCTATCGCAATGCCTTACAATTTGATATTGGAAAATTATTCACGCGAACTTCACGTAACAAGTATTTAACATTTGGTAGCGATTGCTATCACGACGTTTTTTTTTAAATATAGTGAATGAACGATTTAGTTAATTTGACTAAAATTCATAATTTTACTTTAAGTTTTTATTATGTTTATTGAACGTTCAAATCATCATTCGTTCCGAAACCTACTGCGGCATTAAACGTTACATAATGCCATAAATCTCTATCACAATCGATATACCCTTGTAAGAGATTGCAATAGATTATAACATTAGATAATTAAGCTACATGTAATTAGCAAAATACAACTCTTCTTTCTGGGCAAATCAACTTTTTATTTTCGTAATGTGTGTGTAATGTAAATTATTTTCTACTTATTTAATACCTATATTTTGTCCATCTTTGCTAAACGTTAAATAAATCTACTTACAATTACAATAAACCTCTGAAATGAGTACAAAATAAAGATAATATTAATTTATTTTATAAAATTAACAGACATTAAAAAATTAATACAAGGTTACAGTGGACACTTAAGTATATTTTGTTATAATGTTTTTGACCTTTGACACATTTGTTATAGTTCCAACATAATTGCAAAGTTAATTTTATGATAATTTATTAATGTCATTGAACATGGTAGGTACAATACCTACTTAATGAAATAAACCCAACCTGAAATTGTAATCATATCACAATATAAGAGATCGAATTATTGATTACAAATGAATAATTTGTATTGATTACAAATTCATCACCAGAATCGAGCTTTGCGCTCCTTCAGTACAATAAATAATCTTATTAAATAAAACTACCTTAAACAGTTTCGGCGTGCGTTTAATGTTTCGGGCCCTTTACAGGTTCCGTGTTCACAACTTAAGTCCGATTATCATTTTTAATTAAGAATACCTACCTTCAAGACGATACTAAGTAAATATAAGCGCGTTAAAACCGTTTAAAATAGTTTTATTTAATGAGTATTGCGCGTGAAAATATAACAAATAAGTAAATGTTATTATGTTTCAAAACGCTATTAGATCACACATCTGCTTACTCTGTCACGCTATTGGTCATTTAAGAGAGGGCTCACACCAAAATCACGAAGCTATTTCTTCGTAAAGTCAACAGCACGTAAACAGCAGCACGCAACTGTACAAATCTGTAAAATTTCTTCACATAACCTTAATGCATTGTAGATAGAGATCAAAATAATGGAGGAGACACAATCTGTCCTCCCGAGCCTAAACTGCAGTAACAACAAAATTTGCGTTTCTGAGTTTTTCATATCGTCTGAAAGTCCAATTCAAACCCTACAAGCCTAACTTATTAATTTTTTTACGACCTGTAATAGTATTTTATTTTTAAATCAATTTTTAAAGCGCCAATTTGTTAATTTATCTGAAAATACAAATTGGCACCTAATATGCAGTAACAATCTATTTACTGTATTTTAGTTAGTTAATGTAATAACAAAGCTGTTGAATATGCAGTAACAGCTCACTTTACTGAATTTTAAATAGTTTAACAAAGTTAGTAAAATACTAGAAGTAATAATAGGAGTTAAAAAATTAAAATGGCTATAATTTATTTATTTATAGGTACTGTTTTAAACCTGAATTTTGTGAATTATTTTAGTATTCTAAAGTGATTTGTTAAAGATACAGGATTTTTTTTTTGTTTCTTGCGACTTAGGTTCGAGACGGCAGTATTGTGGTAATCTGTGGTGTAGCCTTATGTACATCTCAATTGTATTTTTTAAAAACAATTAAACTCACTTCTTTCTTTATAAAAATAAAAATATTGTATATTAACTTATTTTAAATCTGCACTTAAAAACATTATTACATTGACAAAAATTAGGTAAAATACTTATTGATGTTATTTGTTTTGACAAAACTTTCTTGACTTTTCTAACGGAGTTTAGATTCTTATTCTGCCCGTTGCACAAACGTCCATTAGAATTGTCATTAGTTTAAAACAACATTACCCATACAAATTTAACATTTATTAGAGATTAAAGGCGTCATTAAACCCTAATGAATGTTTGTGCAACTGACCATATGTCTGTTTTGAGCTATCTGGCAATTGAAGTAATGCTCATTGTCATAACATTATTGTAAAGGCCCTTGGCATAAATTGCCCTGTATCATGACGTTTAAATTAACCTCAACCGTAGGTACTTAGACCATATTTTTGGCCAACTCTACATCCAGTTGACCAAAAGTCCATTGAGGTTAAATGAAGAATAAGCTGTATGAATAACACCCGGTTTCTAAATTGAAAAACGTACAAAACCTCAACTCGTTATCCTCAATTATTTAAGTTCTTACGTTTCAAAATTGACCATTAAAAAACTAAAATCAGTAACGAAAACCTGTTAAAGTGACGTCTAAGTACAGATTGTGGCGTGCTTAACTTTAAATTCTCAATTCAGTGTATCTAGTAAAACGTGTATTAAAATTATTGCAAGCAATACTTCTGTTACATTTTTTTTTTCTATTCCAGCTTCACTATGCAGCTAATTACGAATTCGGGTACAGAGTACGTGACCACGAAAGCGGTAACGACTTCGGACACCACGAAGCAAAAAGTGGTGAGAAAACCAACGGCCATTACCATGTCCGCTTACCCGACGGCAGAATGCAGAAGGTTCGATACTCGGCTGGTCCAGAAGGTTTCCACGCTGACATATCTTACGACCACCTAAAGTGATAATACTATAAGGACGGTTGTTTTAAAAGTACAAAAAAGTGATACCTATTTATTTCGAACGTTAAATTTTTTTAGATTTACATATTAATATGTTTATTGAAGTTGTGTTATAATAGTATTTATTTAGGAAGAACAAATGAAACAAAAGGCAAGATAACTATTTATTTTCTAGCAAGATACAAAAAAAAAACAAAAAATCAAAAACAGCACATAAAAGACAAAATAGGTTACACGAAAACAGACAGGTTTAACCACTACACTACCATAGACAACGCCGTTCACTTTCGAAATGGCGAACAAAGAAAATGGCGCTAAGTTTTTATAAGCGCTTTTCCCGCCCAAACTCGAGTGTGCATTATGGAAGTGAAAACCGCAATAAAATTGCTGGAGTTATATATTATTGCGACAGTTATTACATACTTCATAGGCATAGACATAAAATGAACAGTTCAAAATTATAATGACATTGTCGACAGCGTTAAAAGTTTCTTATGTAGATAATTCTACTGAAGATTGCATTTACAAGCACATAAATAACTTTCAAAATGATAGTACTTGAATAATAACTACCAATTTAAATAATAATATAGGAATTCGATGATTTTTTTATTTTGTATATTAAAGACTTCTCTATCCCACACAAAGAATTTTTTCCTCTTTAATGTCCTCATAGCGTAGAAATATTTATTTATTTGTCAAGTGAGTTGTTCGTTGGGTCCACATTGTATCCCTTTTCTTTGAAACTTAAAATTTCTGTCAAATACAGAACTGTAACAAGAAATGTCTGATTTTAAATGATCTGGATCTAAAAATCAAGTTCAAATAATTAGGTTCCGTCAAAAAACACCTCCAACTTTTAGCAGAGATCACATGAAAACTATAAACAAAAAAATACACATAGATTTCTTCAATTATATATAAAACAGTAGATAACAAAAACGATTGTTTAAAGTATAAAAAAATATTGTTTATATACCTGATAGATTGACTCTTATATAGTAGATTGACGTTATAACAAAAATCTGAAAGTAATGAACCATGATCAAGCAAACAAAATCATCTAAAATCCGATAAAATGTAAAGATTTATAACAAAGATAACAAACAACTTTGTCACATCCGTTCAACTTCAAAATCTTTAGTATATTACATAACCTATTGCATAAAAAAGAAAGTCGGTAAGGTAAATTAAAATTTTTGCCATTTTCGAAAGTTATGAACTGCTGCGTGCGTTAACTAAGACCGCACACAGACAAAATGTATCTTTCATTGTTGTTGAAGTAAACTTTGACCCTAGGAAGATGTTAACCAATAACCATATAGGAATAGATATGACTCAAGATTAGAATCTGAGTAATTTTATAATACATTGTTCTATTTTAAGAGTTAAATAATACACAGAGAAAAGGTAACATGACTAATTCGAAAAATTAATGGCTACATGTCACCTAAATGCGTTTGAAGTTATTTTGTTGAAAATACAGGTTCAATCAAATAAAATTATTATTCAAATGGTAATATAGGTTTTATTTGATTGAAGTTTCCGTCTTCATTCCTTCCGAAGAATAACCTCCGAGATTTTAAATTTTACCTGTAAATTTTGATAAATTTAATATTGTTCAATAATGAAAAAAAAACTAAATAAAGTTATTTCATAGTTTTTCTGCATAATGTAGACTATTGTAAATAGTTTTTTAGTTATCAGAAGTCATTGTTGACATTTTTATAGGTAAACGGATACCTTCCCAATGGGCACAGGGTGACATATTTTGATATTAAACAATAAGGGTCGGTGCATATCGGACAGAAGATCCGTCAATCGTCTCACGGAAGTATACTCGCCACAGGTCATCCGTAGAGTATGCAAGGTTGAATGACATACTTATCATAATAGCTTTTCGTCCGCGTGAAATTTAATTAGATAGCCCTATACTGTCTTGTTCTTTGTATAGGTCAACTCTCTCTATGTACCGAATTTCTCCAAAATTGGTTTAGTATTTTAGGCGTGAAAACGTAAGACTCACATAGAGAGAATTACTTTTGCCTTTATAACATTAGATTGTAATTGTCAAATCTGAAGTTTCAAGACGTTCGACGCGGCGTATCTTTCATGAGATTTGCACCGATCCTAAGTACAAGCTAGGCTAATTCAACATTGTCAAACCTTAATATGCTGGCAGTAAAGTCCAAAAATAAAATCATACTTTCGTTTACACAAAGCCAACACCAATAATATGTCAGAACAATACAGTCCCGAGCAGACTTCATTTGGTGTAAATATACGCTAACTTTATGCAACAGAATCAAGCATAATCATTATATTTTATTCTAATAATATGATGATAAAATTATTATATTAAGGTGATAAACATAAAGTAACGGTGCAATATTTTAAGTATTTTATTTAAGAAATCAATTTGTATGATATACGATTTGTTTTTACATTTTTGGCGAGTCCTTACTAGTCTTTTTGATGAATGGTTTCCAAATTTTTACTAAATAAACTTAACTATGTAAGGGTATTGTGCAATAATGTTTAATTAGATGTGAAAAAATGTAATAAGAAAAAGAAAAAATAAACTGCTTACCTGTTTACATAACTTTTTTGTGTTCATTGGTTTTCTTTGTCCTCTCCACGTCTTCGTTTTAAGGTCTAGTTGTACAGCTGCGCCAGAAAGAGCTGAGAGTCTATCAGCCAGTTTCACAAACATTCATTCAAAATATCATTAGTTTAAAGCGACATTACCTATACAAATAAGACATTCTTTAGAGCTTAAAAGCGTCTTAAACCTTAATGGACGTTTGGACTCTAAGGAAATTAAATTAAAGAACTTAATGCTACGATGTAAATGAATGCCGCAAAATTAAACTACCGCGTAGGATTGTCATCAAACCATGGTAGCGTCAATAACGCTTCAACTTTGTAGTTGAAGCGCTGTTGACGCTAACATGGTCAATTGTGGTTGTCCTTATAAGACATTATTACTTGTTACTAGATTACATGTCTGATAAATGAAGAACTTGATATGTCAAAAATCACCTGAAACTTGTAGGACAAATTGCGAAAAAAAAATTCACTACGTAGGGTTTCATTTTTACAGACAGGTTTTTATCAATTTGTGTTGTGTCATCAACATTCTTCACAGCAAACGTTGCCATATACAATTGTTATTATTATCATTGACACGCTTGAAGTTCCGTTTTTTTACCATAATCATCATCAGCCCATTTACGTCCCCACTGCAGGGGCTCAGGCCTTCCTCATGGATGGTTAAGGAGGATGGGCCATGACCCTCCACGCTGGCCCAATGCGGATTGGAGGGTATTAACGACTGCAAATGCAGCCGGGACCAACGGCTTAACGTGCCTTCCGAAGCACGGAGTAGCTCGAGATAATATTTTTGGTCACCCATCCCGTGACCGACCCTTGCGAAAGTTGCTTAACGACAACAATCGCGGGCCGCGGCGCTTATACACTACGCCACCGAGCTACTATTTTACCATAATAATATTGTAAAATTTTCATCAAAAAGCCAGCGGCTTCGCTAGGGTCCTGTATTAATAAAACTTTCTCTTGAATCAATAAGTATCTCGATGACAACCACATTAAAATGCGGTCGTGTAGTTTATTTGTATATATGTCGCTACGCTAGCCATTTAATTAAATCATGATAACATTTGGCCAGTTCAACAAAACGGCTGATTTAAAAGCCGCCAAAATGTTCATTTAATTTATTTATCAGTTAAAAAAAATAACCTCAAACTTATCACGTGACCTACAGGACCAAAACAACTTCCGTTATAATTTTATGTTGTTATCAACTATTGTGGCCCCAAGCTTCCAAATCGTAATAAACATACTTAAACAAACGCAATCAAATACATTGCTTTCTCTCATTTTCGATAGATGGCGCTGAAGCCGTCTGAATCGCAAATATACAGTTTGTTATTATATTTTAGCTAGAGTAGCTCGGTGGCGTAGTGGATAACGACGCGGCCCGCGATCGTTGTCGTTAAGCAACTTTCGCAAAGGTCGGTCACGGGATGGGTGACCAAAAAGTAAAAGGGCTGATGATGATGATGATTATATTTTAAAATCACCCACTACAGTATTTCCTTTGTTAATGAATTGGCTGACCTTTGTTCAGCCATATTGAAGAATGTTGCATTCTGCTACTCGGCTAAACGAAAGTCAGCGCCATTAATTTAATGGCGCCATTATTTCTAAGGTGTAGCCGCCCAATAGGCCGGCTGATTATACATCACAATAAAAAGCAAGATTCAAATGTTTTATTATATATTTTAATAGCTTACAAATAGAGTACATTATTTTATATATCTACAAAAACCAGCAGTGCAATCAAACCGTGAACATACCAATATCAGCGATTCATGTATTTCTCATTTTATTTTAATAAAATGAAGAAAATATTAATAGCATTTTATTAAAATTTGTTAATAACATTATTTAGGTAGATTTGGATAAGATTTAACATAAAAATATGCCGTGCAGGATGTCAGTTTTTATAGGTTTTCAAGGGCCAAACAAACAAAATTTGTTCAAAATCATTATTCAATACTTACCAAAATCTCACTGATTTTAATGGCTTCTGATATGCAAGTATATTTTAGTTTAAAATTCCTATACTCATTTTAGACATATTAATAGTAGTGTACGATAGTAAAAAGAGTAGGTCCTTTTTGTTATCGACTTAAATGACATCAATACACTTTACATATATTTAAAAATAAACCTTATGTTTATGTAATTAAAAATCACGATCCTTTCACCATGTGAACTTCCACTGACGAAACATTGAAGTCATACTTATCGTATACAATTCGGTTTTCATAGTTAACATATGTATATGTACATATATTTACATAGGTGTCTTGTCAATGGAAACTCATATGGTTGTAATTAAACATAACTATTTCTTAATGAAATATCAAAGAAAAACATATCGCTGATTTAATTATCAAACATCGCATCTGGAGGAAGCAAAACTCTGTTTACACTAAATGTAGTACTTCATCTAGTGTAAAACGCGTACATAATGTAAAATTTACACTACGTCCAGTGTAAAATGCCGTAACGAACAAATTTTTTCGTCCTTCCACACCCCATTTTAGTGAGAAAAGTTTTGTACGTATGTACGATACGCTGTTTCCCGTTATTTTAAAATATTAGTGCTGTTAATAATTTGTTAAAATCTTAACACACAGGAAAATGAATTTAAACATTTGCATGATAAAGTTGAGAATTGATTTGACAAAAAGTCTTTCAGCATTTCTTATTTGTGTACCTAAACAGAACTCATAATCTAATAATTATACTCAATCCAGTTTGATAAAATATTAAATAAAGATATCTAGTTAATTTTTTTTTTATACACAAGCTTACAATTGCTTCATATTTTTAAAAACAATTTAATAATAGCCATAGACAAGACCAGCTTTCATAAAAAATATTATTAGATATAACACAAATATTTAAAAATTCGCATAAACAATATATATTTTTAGATGTCTTGTAAGGGCGGTCTACTATAAAGATATTATATTTTCTTTGACATAGGCATATAGATACAACGGCTCTTAGACCATGAAGTAAGAGTAATTGGACGTAGTTAATCAAAAAGGAACCATCCCACATAATGTCTCTTTTGAGATATAGACGATTGAAGTTTAAGTTGTATTTGCATGTTGATGTAACATTTTTGTGTATTATATTTTTATCTAATAGCATAGAAAAGCACTTACATTATACTTATAATTATGTCATTTTAACAGAACTAATAATATTTATTAAAATATAAAGGTTAAAGTATGTTTGGATCCTTTTTGATATATTTAGGTTTTAATTACCTTATTCTTACAAAACAAATCGCAAAAAGATCCAAACGATAAAATAATAGAATAATTAACTGAAACGCCAAAATTTAATCGTTAAAATTGTTTATAAAAGGTTCTTTATATTTATTGTTTTAATTTTTTATGTCAAATGTATTCTCACTATCTAAAATTACCTTCCTACACCTTTTAATAAAATAACCTTTTAACAAAAATGATTCAAGCGTTTTGAACCTTTATTGTGATTTTTAACCAAGATTAGTGCCTTTACTTTGCTAATTTGCTATTTTACTATATGGCTCCAAGAAGCTTGAGTCGTTTTCATGGAACTAAAGTATGAACCTACCAAAGTTGTGGGATGGTAACTACCATTGAAAAAACGTCAAATATTTAATACAGCTCAGAGCTTTTTCCTATATGAAAGTATAGATCCTGATGGACATTTTGTTATACTTAACTCATTTCCGACCAATTTGTGGAACCAATCCTTTTAAGTAACTACGTCCAATTATAATTACGGTTTGGAATTTAGCTTTCAATGTAACACAAAGTTTATAGTATAAGAAAACGTTCGGCCGTGATCAAAAGCCATTAAAATGCCATTAAAATGACTCCGGCTGCACCCCCAATTAAAAATGTAAGGTGTATATCCGTACCAAAATATACCGATGTCTTCCCCTGAGAAACAGACTTTACCTAGGAAAATTGCATAGGTTACCTCTTATCACGAAATGAAGAGATCGAAGGAGGTAGGAGGGAGCAAAAAATAAATTGTCTTCTAAAATTTGTCAATAGAAACCTAGACCTATTATAGGGGTGGCGACTGGATAAAGAAAAGAAAAATTATATTAAGTCCATCAGTCAGATAATAGAAAAATATTAGACGCGTATTTCTTTTTACTTCAATTAAACAAGAAATGACTTAAACACGCATTAACGTTGAGGAGTGGGGGCACGTGACGTCTCATTTTGTAGAAAAGGTTCCATAGGCGTGACGTCATGTGACATTTTAGCTCGATGTATAGACGAAATTTAACGATTACGCAAAAAATAAAAAATAAAACATGTTTAGTATTTTTCAAAAATCCACCTGACGGATATACAAAAAAAAAGAATTGTCTTCGTGGCTATTAAATTAGTTAAGTCATCATTCTATGGCAATCGATGCATCGTAATTATTGTATAAATAATTTAATATTATTTAATATTTACAAACCGGATCGTTGATTAAAAATCATAAACTGTCTAATAAATTATGATACTAAATTTAAATTAAGAATATCTCTATAATAGGCGGAGCATGATAGACTCGATTTTTTTTTACTGTGGAATAATTATCGTCATGTTGCTAAGAAAAGTGATTAATCCTATTCCGTCAAAAAGAAATAAGTTATAATAATGTAACTTTTTTATAATTATCACGATATATAATATGTATGATTGACTTTTTGTTTTAGTTATTTGTTATTTTTACGTACTTTAGTTAAAACATTGAATATATTTCTAAAATTAATTGCCATAACTACTTAATATTACCAACATACATTCAAGATTTACTCGATAACATATTCAAGATTTACTCGATTCTGACTAACCTACTTTAAACGTAATTAGTGCATCTCTTTCTGGGTTTATGTATAGAAAAAAGGCAAATGATAAACATATTATTGATTACAAATATAGTTTTAGTTTTATAGATACAATTTTTGCATTAGTGTTAGAATATGTAATACAATTTTCCTGCAATTAACTATGTTAAATTAATATGGATAAGCCTGAGACAATTTTTCAATTGGACTCCTTTATGTGAATTAAAACAGCGAGAGAAAAAAAACAGTTCTTGAAGTTGAATTTAGAATAAGAACAATTTTATTACACAGACAATTTTGAATACATGATGTTTATTATATTAAATCAATTACGGATTCACAATACTATACCTGAAAAATATTCTGAATGAAAAAGGGACCAAGTGGATTTTTTAAGCATATTCCAATAAGTATAAATGAAACAATCCCGATGTCCCAGAGGTAAGTCCATAATAGTATATGTTTAGCCCAAATTGCATTACTTATTCCAATTATTAATTTCCAACCATATTTAAAACGCCATTATTGTTGTGAATTTAAGATGGCTTTTTTTAAAAGAGAATGCAAGTGCACTAACATCCACGTTCATCTCTCTTAACCAATACAATACTTTACGATAAACATTTCCGAATAAAACTATTTATTACCATAATTATAAAATATATCAGTGGTAATGAAACAAATATTTTTACTATGGCAATATTGTTCAGCAATTCAGACCAAGATCCAAGCTGAGATAGGCTGAGAGTAAAAACTTAATATATAGTTTATTTATACGATATCCACTCGAAAATTTATTTTGAAGTAACTTAATACGCGGTATGTAGTCAAAATAAATTTATTAATTCAGTATAAAAATATATTATTGCTTTGTTTTCAGTGAATAAAATAAAATTTTAAAAATCTTTTTTTTATTTGAAATTTCGATTTCGGTTGAGATCCTCACTGGCAGTATAATCTCGACGAGATGTACTGAAAAAGCAACCAGCAATTCCATTAGTGAGCTCTTTAATTTAACCACATACATAATAAATTTAAGGTTTCAAATCGATTGGCAATAATACTGATGTACTGTTGAATGGGAGATTCCAACCTTTTAATGTGTTGTATACATGATACTTGTTTTGACGTAGTACGTCACATTCTTAAAATGACATCTCGAAAAAGTTACAGAAAGTCATTTACGTGTAAAGACCACAAACGTGACATTGGCGGAGTTGTGTAAACGCCATGAATTAAAAAAGACGAAGAAGAAGTAATTTTCGCAAAAAGATATTTTCTCAGAAAGTCATTTTAGCAAAAGTCAATCTCGCACAATGCCACTTTGCCAAAACGTAATAATAAGCCCTTCTCTCGTATTCGACTACCTCCGCTTTTCTTGACGATCGCTATTCAATAAATGTATTTGTTTCACCACCAATTTTTCACTCGAACAAAGGCTAGATACTAAGGTTAAATTCTTAGACATCTGTTTTTATTGCCTGAATACCCATTGTTAGTTGCAAGGAATTACTGTCCAAAATAATATGAAAATCATAACATATTATGATTAAAATTCTTTTATGTTTAGTTTATAAAATATTTCTTAACAATATTCTCTGATTTCTTTCCGTAATAATAATGTATATATACATTAATAAAAATAGATATCCCTTGCAACTGACTCACAAAAATATAACATGTTTTCTAATTTCAACCTTATTACAATAAATGAAAGACATTTTGAGTTTTGTAAATAAACATTACAATCTATAATAATAATATATCGCAACGCGCACGCGCGACTTAATTTTTTTTTTTTATATTCTCAAATCAAAGTTTACACATTAGCCGTTCCAAAGCCATACCTCGTTCCGATCAATCCAAATTCAACTTTATAACATAGGGGTCAGAATCCAAATGACAAATAATTACCGTCAGACAAATAACACCGTTGTTGTCACCTTATAGAGAATATTATTTACAACCGATAATCAGCCTTAATACAACATGATGGTGAAGAAATTCACTTACCGCGACTAATCCAATTTTTGCTTCTTCACCTCTACTTCTAAAATTGCCAAAGGGTTCAAGGGGACCGGACGTTTCAATTTGCCCTCTATGTTTAAGTTTGTTAGGGTTCTTATTTCGTTAGCGATCCCTCGTATCTTGGCGATTGTAGACTGTGGTTTCGGTTTAGATGTGGAGGGTTGGTCGTCAATTTTGGGTATTTTCGGGGGTGGTTCTGCGTCATCTTCGGATAAACTTGGCAGATTGATGAGAGGCTTACGCGGTTTGATGTTAGGCAGCACTGTAGAAACAAAGATTATATTTAAAAACAATTAGGTAGTAGGGTAATTTCAGTAATGAAAAAAGTTCACAAAATTCGCCAAAATATAAAATAAAATAAATTTTTAATTCATAAAATCTTATGATAATCTTGTTTAATTAAAATTAAATGTAGTTTTTTATCTGTGTATCACGTGACCTGCAACACGGCCCACCATGGTGTGACGAAGTATTGGCAAAAACATTTAAACATGTGTCATATTAGTCGTAAACAGCTGCCTATCAATTTTATAGCAGATCCCTAGATGGCGCTGTTCACTATTAATTTATAGTTTTCCATCTTGGAACAAGATCGTTAGATCGTTCTCGTCCTCGTCTGGTCGACAACATTATATCTAGGTATGAAAAATAAACTTTATGCACCTCTTTTGTATACATATCGAAATGACGTCATGAATATGGCGGAAGTTTACACGGATATAAAAAGTTTAAAACTTTGATGTTCTTTAATGTTAATGCAAAGATAATTGTTTATTATTCCGAAATATATTTTTGGGTTATTTCAATTAAAATTTCGACTTTCATAATACTTGTAAACGTGTTAAAATCGTTCGGCGTGACATACGACCTCGATAACAGCATTCTTTAAGAATGTAGTGATATAATTCGTCACTTAAACTTTCCTGATTGACAACTACGACCACTTTATAGATAGTGATTAAGAATGTGTGGTGGAAATGTATTTTACCTTTGGTCTGTGTCCTCTTATTTGTCCCTATAGGCAGTACGGATAAATCCAGTTTGATCTGACTGCCGAAATGACGTAGCGGTTGAGTTTGAGTGGAAGCTTCCCCGGGGGCCCCTGATGACGATTACAATCGAATAGTAAATTCGCATCGAATAAAAGAGAGAGCAATATATGAGTTTGGAGGTAATGGACATCAATCTTATTAATGTCCTTATTACTTGAGCACAATCCTTCCCTACAATCATCATCAGCCCTGTTACGTCCCCACTACAGGAGCTAAGGCCTTCCTTATAAGGAGGATGGGCCATGACCCTCCACGCTGGCCCAATGCAAATAAGAGGGTATTAACAACTGCTTAACGTATCTTCTGAAGCACGGGTTAGCTACTGAGCTACTTTCCCTATGGATGGAAAATAAATCGAATAAAGACCGAAACTGCAGGCCCGGTGCGGATTGGTTGGTGTTAACGACTGCAGGTGCATCCGGGACCAACGTTTTAACGAGAAACAATTCAGAATCGGCGACTAAGCCAACGTGCGCCAAAGGAGAGGAGGAAGAGGGAGGAGTGGGAACACATCCTCCCCACTACACGCTACAGCGCGAAGAATCACAGATAAAAAAGAAAATTTTATGTCTATATTTTAAATTAAATTTAGACCTTATTTTATAGGCTTTAAAGTTTCGTTTTTTCGCGAACAATTAAATGACATACGACAGTAAGAATAATAAAAACCTTTACTGTTATTCAAAAAAAAAAACTTAAAAAATCAATAATTTATTTGATAATATCTTTGTTATCTTTTAAAAAAAATTGCCAACAATCAAATTCATTATATGTAATTATTAACAATGACACATTGAATAGTAAACAACCGTTACTATGGTAACGTTTTAATTACCTATACAAACTTCCAGCTCCATTTTCATCCCTTTATTTGCTTTTCGGTATAAAATATAGCATATGTTCACCGCATATCTAAACCCTTATCATGATTACGAATCGATATCCAAATAAACAGTTCCCTAGGACCCACACGGGTGAAGCTTCTGGTGGAAAGCTAGTATAGTATACATGTCAAACGCATACCTGCAATAACTTTTCCACCGACAGCTTGGTTTGTATGCGTCAACTCCGAATACTTGATGTCACATTCTTCGATGCGTTTCCTCAAATCCGCTGGAAAATAATAAAAAAAATTACACCCTAAACTCTGATACTTAACGTTATTTTTTTTAATGAATCAATATATATATGTCTCAGCCAAGTGGTATAATCAGCCGGCCAATTAGGCGTCTAGCGCTTTAATTGCATAGCGCCTTTTAATTTAATTGAAGGGCTAGCCGCCCAATTGGTCGGGTGATAATACCACTTGTCTGCGACATATACACATAAATAAATAAATTATGCCATAGAATGAATGTAATGTTTTACTGTACTTGTATGAATTCATGTAAAGTTTATAACTTAAATTTATATAAGAGATATGTTTATTCGTGGGGTGGGAACCTGGTGATTTATTATTCTACAAAAAATGTATGTATCCATAGTGCAGTATGAATTTGTGAGGAAGAATAAAGATAATTAATATCATTATTACCTAAAAAATATGTCAATTTCTGTCGCTTACACTTCACAAATATGTGCAATAAAAAGTTATCAAATGTGTGTATGTGTCCCAAGAATTGACTAAATTTGTTTAGTTTCCATTACAAGTTATGAATGATAGCACTATCTTTTGTTTTGTTTCGTAAATCATGGAAAGAATTAATACCGCACGCGACTAGCTGTCTAAAGCTCACACAGACGTAAGTGAGATATAATATTTCATCTTACGATATCTTAAAATAACATATTATGACATCTGAAGTTATCAAACTCAGTTAAGATACGATAATATGAATGATATAATATTTCGTATCATAAGATACCATCTTAACTTACGAAATATATATTTTCGTATCGCTTGGCATCTAAAGATACTAAATATAAAAATAATATAAATATAAAGTCTATCGGGTCATGGGAATGTATTGCGAGCGGTATTTTATCTTAAGATGTCATACTATAACATCTCAACCGTCTATTACAAGCTTAATTTATTTGCAAGTTTATCATTATTTATGTTTTTAGGAGTGACGGAGTGCAGCGGCGCGGTTCATCTACACATTACTAGATGGCGTTATGCGCCAATGAATCGTGCTAACGCTGTCGAAACAACGTGTGTCATATAGGTATACATCGGGTCGGCGAGAAAGGAACAGTGACTGGGGAATAAAGGACGGGTAGCTGTTCTAGAACTTTTTCGTAATGCCTCAAATAGACCTAACCTAGAACATTCTAGATGTGGTAACGGTCCCTATAAATATGCGGTGGCATTCTTTCAGTGATCGGAAGCGAAAACTAGTGACGGGAACTATCTGGACGATCTTTTAGTGTTGGGAAGTGACCGTAGTGACGTGAACGGTAGGGTTAAAGTGTTTTGTTATTGATTTATTTTTGTGATTTTGTTAATAAAATAAAGTCGGATAGTGAATTTAATTGGCGTTTTTATCCCGAACCCGAAATCGTAACAATAGATTAAGTATTTTAATCTACTTCTTCCAATATTAGATCTACTTTAAAAAAAAACGAAATTTTAGCTCCTATTTGTCTGAATTGGTTTGATATAAACCCTTTATATTTACCTATAGTGTTGTCCTGCTCTTTCTGTCTTCTCATTAGGCAACGTATAGTTTTACGCTGTCGCCAGGCGATTTTTCTATATTCGAACATCTGAAAAAAAATGATTCCATCAAATTGTATCGGTATATAAAAATGTCTATGTATATTAATCTAGTTCTTAAATAAAAAAACAATAATTAGACTTAGAATTAGAATATTGACTTCAGTTCACTTCATACAAATATCCATTCATGTTAAATCTAATCGAGTTCATGAATAAATTTTAACTGAAATTTTAGTGATTAAGTATGTGTAAACACACAAATATGTAAAAAGAAACAATTTAAAATTGAGTTAACCACTTATAAATTTAATTAAAATTAATTTTTAAACTTGCTTAATTTTTATTTGTGAACACGTTCTTAATCACATGAAATTGAGTTAAAACTCTACTTACTATTTTAAACCGCCCATCCAAACCCGCCATTAAGTTTCCGTCTCACACACTCAGTGGGGGGGGGGTCAGTTGTAGTACTTTAATTATTCAGTCTTTATTTTACTTTTTTATTTAATAGATACACATGAAAATTTAATTTTCAAAAGTTCCCGCTAAAAAACACCATCCTCTCTCGTGGTGTTACTATGACGTCACGCCCCTCTAAAACTATTATCATTGTACGCATTGAGATTTAAATAATTAAGTTCTGATACGAGTAGAGGGGCGTGTCCTCACACGCTGTTTGCGGTCACGTGACAAAGAGTATAAAACATTAATTTTTTTCGTAATTAATTTAAGTAATAATATTAATATAGGGTATGTTCCGATATACACTGCGAGCACTGCGCAGTGGTCTTACTGCTGAAAAATCCGTTCCGTTATGGACTGCCAGTACACTGCTACAGTACCCTAGGGAAATTTATGACGTCATAAATTGCCGCCATATTTGTACTGTGAGCACTGGAGATTTCGAAGTAAGGTGCTCGCAGTGCTTTTGATCACGTGATCAGTCGAAACAGAATCAGAAAATGATAAGTTTCTAAATAAACAAAAAAAAATACTTACGTTTATTATAAGATGGATTTAATTGATAAATAATTTTTTATACACAATTTTATAATATTTTCTTTTGAAAAGAGGGAATCTTTATATTATATTCACCTTGCATTAACAAATTTGAAAATGGCGCCAAAAAATAGGATTAACAGTATACTGGACTGCGTTCCGCTTTAAAAAGTCACCAGTATAACTAGCTATAAAGGAACGGGCTTCCAGTATACTAAATTGACGTCATACTGTTCAGTGGTCGCAGTGTATATCGGAACATACCCATAATAAGGATAAAAGTGTGATTTATGGGTTCAGTGTCTGCAGCCGTTTTGGCGTGCTTCGAAATTAAGCTTTCTGCGCAGGTACATCGGTGGTTCACATTATTTGTATCATACTGTAACATTTAGTGATTGTAAACTAAACAGACCCGCTTGTGAAACTTCTTTTGTTGCGCGGTTAGATACAGTGACAGCTTCGTGTTGAGAAGGAGACGGCGTCTGATCAGAAGCATATCTTGACGGATTGCGATCGGTGCTAATACGCCTGAAACAAATATTTATGTTAAATATTCTTAATCTTTACATTCACAATGCTATACTAGTATATATTCTTAATGAAAAACGCTTAAAAAATCCATTAGCCCCAGATATTCTGAGATGGGACTCGAATCTACGACCTTTCGGGAATCCGGGCGACTTCTCTAACCAATAAGCTATCTATCCTAAATTGTCAAATTTTGAATTCTCGGACATTGTTATGGATAGATTGAAATTGATTTATTGAATATGAATTGCAAAACGTTATTGTACAATTGCCTTATATGGGTCAAGTTACTCGAAATAAAAGAATTTTATTTTATTTTTTAACTGTTTTTTTTTTTATTTGATGAGATTTTAAGCATTTTTCGTTAACAAACATTTTTATATTTTTGACTTCACTTTAATCAATAGATGGCGCTAATTAAACACTAATTAAAGACTTTCTTGAGACGCTGAGAAAATTTATACTTCTATTCTAATATTATAAAGAGGAAAGATTTGTTTTTTTGCAATTTTTAAAATCGGTCCATTATTTTTGATGCCTATTGCATCAAAACTTATGGACCGATTTTAAAAATTCTACGGGGATCTACATCGTATGCGGTGAACATAGGCTATATTTTATCCCAAAAATCGCAACTTATGGCATGAAAATGAGAGTGGAAGTTTGTATAAGCAATTAAAACGTTACCATAGTAACCATTGTTAACTATTCAATGTGTCATTATAATTTTATTCATGTCATGATATGAATCGATATCGAAATAAACAATTAACGAAAGGCAGTGTTTTTCAACCTTTTTCATGATGCGTCCCCCCCAGGTATGAAAAATATTTCGCGACCCCCCGACCCTTCGCCTTTTTATAATGTATTTATGGGTACGTTACACTGTAACGGTTACTTACAGTATTACAAATATTCATTCCATATGAAGTTTTTATGCGTCTACAATTCTACATAATTTCATAATTCATTTGGAAAACGATTTAATTCTTGGTGTAGCAAATACAGATCCACGATAGGAGAAATAATAAATCAAAAACAAAGCACAACCTTCGCATTAACAAGTCTTAGAATATTATTTTTTATTAATTTGTTTGTATTAACATACAAATATTTATGAGTATATTCTTTTGTTAAAATTCTGCTACTTAATAATCAATCTTTTTAATCTTTATTGTTTTTTACTGAAGTTCTCTCGACCTCGGCGAGTTCGAGTTCGAACAAAACAAAAACTTTGTTTTCTTTCTAAAAATTTAAAAATGAGCTCTTAAATCACCAACTAGTTGTTGAGATTTCATTATAATTTCATTTATACACAATCTGACCGGTACTATTAGAAGAAAAAGCTCATCTGACTTTCAAGAATGCTTATATCGTTCGATCGTATAATTTAATCTCATATTTGCATCACGCAATCAAATAAAAGACGCACAACAAAGACAACAGAGTCTAGTTTTTAATGTAACAGTGCCTTCATACGTATTTAGTGGATAATTTACTGCATCTCATTATTTGTTCTATCCTACTTCCTTCGTGGGAAGGTCCTAAAGTTTCTGGAACTGGCCACTTATTTTATAATGTATAAATTACTATATTCCTATCGACAAAATAAAATGTCAGCTACAATCGAAAGACATCTGTAATGTAAAATTATTAACTACGCCAAATCACATGAATACATTATAAATTCACATCACAGTAAGAAAAAAATAAAGCCCAATTGTCTTATTTTAAAATCGATCGTGATAGCGATTGCAATCGTAAAGTTTTTTAAAAGATTATGTATGAACGTTTATAAGATACAGTGTGGTGACGGACAGCGTAGTCTTAGTTTTAACCTTTTGGATATGCAAAGAATTGATTTTCAGCCTTTAACCAAAAAAAAACACAAATCATGGTTACCCTAATCTATATTTATTAATAAAAATTTGAAATCTTAACTAGTTAAAAATGGTGGTTCCATATGTGGATACTAATTGGCTTGCCATTTTAAATATCACCCATTTCACGCAATATCAAAAATCATGGTTACCCTGGTCTATATTTAATAGGTAATGAAAATTTTGTATTGTTTTAACCTTTGCCTTGTTGGTGTGGATCAGCGAATACTCGAAAACTCATTGTCCTCATCAAGTCTACACTATTCTCACAAACAGCTGTATAATACTAAACTTGCTACAGTACTGAGAAAATGCAAAGCTTATCGCTCCATTTATACGATTTTATCTATGCTAATCATAAATTATACAGCGTACGCCATCTAGCGCCGGTGACTTATGATTATGTAACAAAGCAATCTTGCGAAAACACTTCGTTTTCACTTTTATTATAGTGTAAAATTTTACATTATCTGTTTTATTTTTCCAAATATGTTTATTAAACGATTGCACTTTTATTATATTGTACAATTTTACATAATCTGTTTTATTTTTCCAAATATGTTTATTAAACGATTGGTGTGCTTAGATTTATAAATGAAACGTTTACATTGGCTTTAGAGTATTATCATATTGGCGTTAAATAAAAAAAAACTTGTTATATTTATGGTTGGCAACACCTCAACATAAAAAAATATCCAATCGATCCAACAATGGCTTACACATAAAAGATTCTGTAATACCACATTCATATTTAGAATGGTTAACATGCAATATGTCTCAGTTTATCAAAATATATATAACGGATTGAGGAGCTCAATGATGAGGTGGTAAGAGCTTTCGGTTGCGATCCTGAAATTAAGCAACTTTCACACGAACTGGGTGGCAAAAAATATCTTGGGCTCCTCCGTGCTTCGCGAGGCACGTTAAGCTGTTGGTCGCAACTGCATGTTTGATCATGGCCCATTCTTTCTATTCGATATGATTTCGATAAAGCACCAGTTGTAGGGGCATTTGTTATCTGTGGTTTGGTAATCGATTAGACTTGAGGAGCCCCAATAGTTGCTAACTATTGGGGCCCTCGGCAAGAGCATCGTCAAAGGGTGAAAGGAGAGGCAATTATTCGCCTTTTTATTAGTCAATTTTTATTGATGTTTTTTCTTTGGATAGCTATCTGACAAATAAGCCCCACTTTCACTGGTAAGTCGAAGGTGAAACAATTATAAAGAATAAACGAATGTTAGAAGAGAGACAACTATTTCTTTGATTTCTGACATCTAGCTAACTATTACGCTAAGAGGTTATTTGGTTGTTGTGGTATTTTTGTATGTAATTATTTTGGGTTTTTATTAATTATTATTATGGAAAATAAAAATGAGGGAGCGTTCAAAGAGTTTAATAACGGTAAAGTTCAACTACTTGAGAGCCTCGTCGAAAGAAAGAGGAACGAACAAATAGTAGGAAAAAGGATGCTATCACTAACAAACAAACAATTATTTGCAGTGTATGTAATCTCGCTGCAAATATGTAAATAATATGTAAGGTGTGTCCTACATTTGCTCTCGACTTTAACTACAATTGATACGTAGGTCATTGTCCATAATCGACTACCCTGGGGTACATCGGCTGGCGACGCCTCTGGCCCTGGACACGTGCCCACTCACAATTGATACTTAGCTCATTCTCCATAATCAATCCCCCCTCCCCCCACAGGACCATTGGCTGGCGACGCCTCTGGCCCTGGGCACGAGCCCAGTCTCAATTTATACTTTACTCATTCTCCATAATCGACTCCCCCTCGGGGGGGGGGGGGGGGGCATTGGCTGGCGACGCCTCTGACTCTAGGCACGTGCCCATAGTCACAATTGATACTTGGCTCATTCTCCATAATCGACTCTTCCCCCCTGGGCCATCGGCTGGCAACGTCCCTGGTCCTGAACACGTGCCCTTTGTACCCATTGAGTAGAAGCATCCTGTATGTATAGAATTAAAAAAGATCATACCTGGCGCAGGTCTAGGCGGTGGTGGTACAACGCTATCTTGTAACTTCTTGCGGAACGCCGGTGATATTTTGTCATCGAAATGTTCTATCGCCATGCTCGATATATCTCTCAACTCTTGTAGTACTTCGTGGGCTCGGGGAGGAGTCTTAGTCGTCTCCACGATGGTTAGTACACGACGTATCTCATCTATTACCTAAAACACGATTTTTCAAAAGAATTTAGTAATACTGTGTTGTATTAACTGAAAAACTACTATTTTTAATACCAAAAGTTACTATCTCGAGCTCCTCAGAGTTCGGAAGGCAAATTAAGCTATTGGTCCCGACTGCATTTGCAGTCCAATTACGCTCACCAATCCGCACTGCGCCAGCGTATTGGGTTCTCCCTATTTGATTTGATTCGATTCCATCCATAGGGAAGGCCTAAGATTAACGTCTCCATAGTGAGGACATTTTTGAGAAATTAGGTTTTTAGTTTATTAAATAAATTTCTTTTAAAGTAACTTAACAGCAAGTCCAATTTTGTTTTATTATATTTACTATGAGATACCTTGCCCGGTATGAAGCAGCATATACCATTGTCAATGAATTTCGTGTAAGTCATGTTGAGCATCGATATACGTGTCTCCAGCGATGTCAATATATCACTGTGGCGGGATAACGGGTGATATCTGAAAATATACAACATTACAAATGATCAAACATCTCCACGCTAGATCGCGTACGGTGTATATAAAGAGAACTGAGCGCCATAGGATCCAAAAGCGCCACAAGAGCTACAAACGCCACAAGAGCCACAAGCTCCGCAAGCGCTACAATAGCAAAAAGCGCCACGAAAGCTATAAACGCCACAAGAGCTACAAGCGCAACAACAACCACAAGTACCACAACAGCCACAAGTGCCACAACAGCCACAAGTGCCACAACAGCCACAAGTGCCACAACAGCCACAAGTGCCATAAGAGCTCTTTACCGAGTATCTACACGTAGATCGTAAGTTCTTTTGATCCTTATAGATTATATCAACCTATTTTTGTATGTATTTTTATATAGTTTAGATAAAATATATTAATGAATTCATAAAAAATGCTTAAAAAAACACTTTGTCCCTGATGTTCTGAGATGGGACATTTTGCAATCCGGGCGACTGCTCTAACGAATGAATGAATGAACAAGTCATGGGTAGTTCAGTGGCTTTCAGTTTTATGGTAAGATTTTTTCTCTACTACAGAGCGAGCATAGCGTATGGTATTTTTTAAACTTTCTATAGAGATGAAAATTTGCTATTATTATATTTGATCAATTTTGCATTGACAATGCTATACTGGAAAATATTCTTAATGAAAAATACTTAAAAAAATCCACTTTGACCCTGCTACTACTCTGAGATGGGATTTGAACCCACAACCTTTTGCAATCCGGGCGCCTGCTATAACCACTGAGCTACCCAGGACCTAACAGGATTGACTTTTTTTTGCATTAAAAATATTTCCAGTCTTTAAGATCAAATACAAAATATATTACTTATTAAATCAATCCGAAAAACATATTTAGTTAAGTTTGCATTTTCAAACCTCATCTCAAGCGATTACATATTTAGCTTATGGACAAATACAGCCTTGTTAAAAAAAAATAGTATACCTTCGTTCAGACTCCCTCCGAGGCAGCTGTGTCTTAACTGCTTTCAGTGCCAAAGCATGCCGGCGCTCTATCATCAAGAAACCACGGTTCAAAAGACGCATGCATATGTCGTTAAAGGCTTTAGATACCTGAAAATAAACAAAACGACAAGACAATATAGGATTTAGTCAACTAACTTATTGATCTATGTTCTCTAAGAATTTCTGATAATAGGATATCTGAAAAATTAAAGTGATCATAAAATTTTATATGGATTCATAATATGTTTTATATATTTTTTTCAGAAACTTTTTAAATATTTTTTTTTTGTCAAATCAGTGGTGCAGTGGAACTCCTCTGTGCTTTGGAAGGCATGTTGGGTCACTCAGCACTAGGCCTGCATGGTGGCCCATGGCCCAATCTTTCTATTAGATTTGATTCAATTCCATCCATAGGAAAGGCTTGAACCCCAACAGACAGCCAATTAATAGGCAGGTGACAATGATGAGTTATCAACTTAAGTAATGATGGAAGATATGACTAGCGAAGGTTTGTATATTTATATTATTAAAGACAAAAGGTATTAAAACAAATATTATAATAAGCTCGTAGTTCTGGTAGACTCTTTGAAGTTGGTTATATATTTTTAAAGTTTTTTACTTTTTAAAGGAAGAACCTGCCCCAGATCACATGGATATTGAAGTTTCCATATGAACAACATATTTTTCTTACAGATCCCTAATGTTTTTATGCTAATCAAAATAATAATCATACAAGAATTTCTCCAATTGGTTGAGAATATTTTTATCCTATGCAATGCAAACAAACATCTTTCCTCTTTATTATTTCTTATAGATATAGGTTTTAGGTTTACAGTGCTGAAAAATTCCTAGTTATCACTATGAAATGAAATTAAACAGTTTTATTTATAAAACAAAATAGAATAGAATCATCAGAGCCATTAATTTATATAATGAATTTGTATAAAGCTTGTTACTGTGGAATGAATTTTTCCATCACATATCAGCTTATCAAAAATGACACATTCCCATAATGATTTTTAATACACCGCCCAGATGTGCAGGAGCTTTCTAGAGTCTTCACAGAGTTTACGGAGTAAGTAAGTAAGTAATATTTATTTGCCTTTAAATGAGGTACATCATAGGTAGAAATACAATATTAATGAGTCCAGCCCATTTAGCCATCAACAATAGCATGCAAATATATTGATTATAAAATCACATCATACAAGTATAATTATCAAACAATTAATTAAATTAACAATTAATTAATTAAATTATATCATTATCATTCATATAATGTCAGACAAATTAAAATGTTACAATAATTTCAAAATAGAAAACTAATATCAGATACTATCAAACACAATGTCCATGAAATTCAATTAATAAAAATAGAAATAAAAATGTCAATTACAGGTTAGTCAATATTTATTGTATGTCAATCTTACTATTTAAATACTCCTTGACTGAGTAGAAACATTTAATTTTAAGCCAGTTTGATAGTTTTCTTCTAAATATATTCAAATTAAGTTTAGTAAACGAATAAGGTAATCTATTATAAATTATCACACAACTGGGATAACAGTTTCTTTTAAATAGGGCGGTGTGCATTTTGGGTAACAAGAGCTTTCCAGGATATCTGTTACTTCTAGTAGAATTTATATCTTTACGTGTGAACAGACATGGGTGAGTTTTTACAAAAACGCAACATTCCAGAATATACAGCGAAGGAAGAGTTAATAAGTTCAGTTTCGGAAATAACTGTTTACACGACGTCAAAGGTGGTACATTACATATAGCTCGTACGCATTGCTTTTGAGATATAAAAGCCCTATTCAAATCTATTGAGTTTCCCCAAAGAAGTATTCCATATCTGAGATTGGATGCTACATATCCATGATATGCAATTAAAGAAGCCTTCTGATTTATTTGCGTCGTTAATCGCCATAATGCATATGAAAACCTGTTTATTTTGGTGCATACTTTCTTAATATGTGCTTTCCATGAACATTGACTGTCAATTGCTATACCCAAGAAAACAGCATCGTTTGATTCTTGTATAGCTTCATTATTAATAAGTACAGTCAAGCTGTTTAGTTTGGGTTTTTTATTATAGAACCTAATGTACTTTGTTTTATTTATATTAATGTTTAAATTGTTCTTCATAAGCCATTCCGTAATCTTGTTAATTGTATTATTAATGTCATTATTGTAATTTACGTTTGGGTCTTTGGGTATCACTACTGATATATCGTCCGCAAATAAATTACATTTATGTCTAGTCACACCAGGAAAGTCATTAATGTAAATAATAAATAATAATGGTCCCAAGATAGTTCCTTGTGGAAGGATTGCCTAGAGTGTATCCCATGTGTGCTGCCAGGCTCTCACATTCCAGAATTAGTTTCTTTTTTGCTTTATTTCTAATTATGTGGATTCTCATAGTATATTAAATTAAAGTTCAGATTCCAGAGCAAAGCATAAAAAATGAGAATCTACATATGGCAATCCAAAATTCTCAGCGATCAGACCAAAATTCACATACAGAATAATAACACAGATCTCAAAAATCAAACTTAAAAGCTCTTTTGTAAAAAAATAATTTAGCAAACTACTTTTCAGTTACTTCTGAATCAAAACACTTCAAATAAATACAGGGTTAACTAATATAGAAACTAATTATAGAAATTAAACAGCATTTTTAAAACTTCATAAAGTTGTTGCAGTCGTTTTTAAGTTATTTCAATTGGCTGCAGATTCTAAAAACTATGGTTAGGCTGATAGCGACAGCATTTTTCTTTGTGGTAACTGCTAGAACAAACTGCCTTCGTCACAGAAATAAACGACAAACAATGAAACAAACAAGACCGATATTAGGTTATTTAGGGTCATTTCTATAATTACATCATACAAAATAATACTTACTATTCTGTTCTTGGCGATCTCGTCATAACTAAGATACGAAAATATATTTTCTAATACCACAACTGGTAAACTGAGAATATCCATTTTAATACCACTTTCAACACTATCCATCATTATGTTCGATCATTAATTTACCTACGTTTATGATTACAAACGTAGGCTTTAAAATTAAAATATTTACACTAAAACAATGACGAAGAACAGATTTTTCGCGATCTTTCTTCCCGTCATTAGCACAGTGCATCGAGTCTCGCTGTTTTCTTTTTCTTCCTTAGGAGAACTATATGCAGTAAAAAAGAGAAAGAAACACAATAACATTTTAAAAAAAAAGCATTACTTACACCCTCCCTACCAAAGACTTTTATTTCCTTTTAAGGCAAAGATATGATGACCATGCAGCCCAAACCTTAGTATTGAAATCTTCTACTTTTTTATAGGTATATAGAGCATGTATTAAAGTTTTGAAGTATATTTAAATATACTCGGTGGAACAGAACGACCGACACTCCCGAGGTTCCTAGAGAGTACTATTTGTCCTTAATATGATGTAAAAAAAATTATAAGTCTAGGTCAAATAGTTTCGGAGATATTAAAATACAAAGTTTTTGAAAAAAAAATGACTGTTTTCAACCCTGAGTCAGCTGTTTTTGGGACCTACTAAGGAAAAGTTTTTAATCGGTCATTGACTTCTTCATTTCTAAAAACGAAATAAACTAGTTTGTGATTTACAAGACTGCTTTCATGCAAATTCTACCAGACAATCAATAAACAAGGCAGTCAAAATGCTTAAATCGATTTACAGTCTAACAGCCGGTTTCTGATTTGAAAGTAGAAAATTTCTACTGCTTATTCTCAATAACCTAAGTTTTTTTTTAATTTCACAAGTCAAATAGTCCTAGTTTTATCAAACTGCTATCAACTGATCATCAAAAAACTAAAATCGGAAACGAAAACTAAGTGATGTTAGTTTGAGACGTTTAATTTTAAATTCTCAATTAAGAAACCGAGTGTAAAATTTCCTAAATTATTCCGCCGCCGACGAACCGCTGCGAAGCGTCTTTTTTGTCGATTTTTGTTTTGTTCTAATGCATTTTTAATTGAATTTTTGTTAATATGATACTAGAGTGTTCGTCTTGAGTGTTAAATTTAGTGTAGTGAAGATTGTGTTTAGTTTTGTGTGAAATGTGATGTGTTTTGCGCGTGCATACACTGGCATGCAAAAGAGTGTGCTTAGCTGTCTTCAGAGAAGAATTGAACATTTTCAGCATCGACTATCATTAAGATATCGGTAAATAATTAAATTAAATTAATGTATTTCGCGGTCCGTTGTAATCTGCGCACAATCGATATTGCGCATGCGCGTTAAAGGGCTGTCAACACTTAGAAATTTAAAATTTTTACTCCATTTTTACACCTCCTCTATTTTTAAATATTTGTCAAATAAAATGAACGTTTGCATGTAACCTAACTTGAAACTTTCGGCTGTGTCGGTCATTTTGTTCCTCCCTGTATGTGTATATAGATCTTGATTAGACATCATTGCATGAATGGAGCGCGGGACATTGTCAGGTGTATTGTATATTTCCAAAAGTTTATCCAAAGATATGGTTCCTTTTAAATTAAAAACTTGGACATTCTAATATTAAGTTATCCAAGGTTTCATCTTGAAACGACAGTAAGTACAAATTGCTGAAGGAATCATTTTCATTCTGGATTGATGTGTATTCAATCTTCCATGTCCATTTTGAATGAGAAAGTATTAAAAAAAAAACGAAAGCACTCTACTAGATGACAACTCTAGCAAAAGTTGATTTTTGCAGGAAACGAATGGACCAAATATAGTCATCTCCGTTCCTACTAATTAACATATTAAAAAAACTAAAATTTGCAAAGTTCAAAACTTAGATATCAATACAAATACGAAAAAGTACAAATAGAATATGAGTTATTTATTGAGTTCTGAAAACTCATTTACTTTTAAACATGATAGAAAACCGGAAAGGTTGCCATGGAGAAATCAAGAACGTTCCGTGGCGACATCTAGTTAGATTTCGGGAACTATTGTTTTTTTTAATACTTCCTCATTATGAAAACCTATCCTTATATTATCAGAATTGTTGTGGTCAGCGTACGAAGTTACATATATTATACAAGAATATTTTGTCACACAATTATGATTTAATTTGTGGACGCTACATAACTTATGCCACATATTGCGGCGCCCCTACTGCTTCACCGCTTGTCGATCGTCTTATATTGAAAATAGATCTTACCTCCGAAGGTAACCTCGAACTATTAGACCTTACATTTTGATTACTTGACATTATTTTACAGTTTATGCAGATGGACAAATATATAATAATAGAAGATTTTAAATAATTTACCAAATATTGCTTGGCAATGTAGTAATATATTCTGCTACCTGTCACTCAGAGTTATTTTAATCAATCTCAAATAGCTTTAATAAATTTTATGTGAATATTTAATTTGTTTCAACTAAATAAATTTAAAACATTATGAGAAAAGATTGTTCGACTTGATTTTCACGAATATAGGTGATACTTATATTGATCAATGTATTTTTTCCAACTAGTGATAATTTTTCATACATTGAGAGTGTTCCTAGGACACAATTTCAGTTCGAGAAAGGGTGATAAATAATTATTCTTGGACATAAATTTATTTTTAAAAGAGTTATTTACAAATAAATCAGTTGAAGCATTTATATCCAAACTTAATGAACAAATTTTTGAAATTATTAAATAAATTGTTATATCTTCGCAATACCTTCAATAGTTCACTTGCTCATAAATACATATAAAGTTAAAAACAACTCATAGGTCAAATGGAAGACAAATGGTAATTTATCCGATTATGAAACATTCTATATATTGAAAAAAGGTTTTAAACGAGAATTAAAAAAATGCTATAAGCGTTATATATCAATGGTTGAAGATAATATTCGTAAAAACGTAAAGTACTTTTTAAACGTAAAGTACTTTTTAACAATTCTAAAGGAAAATCAAGTATTCCTACCTCTGTTTCATATAAAGATATTACTTCGAACCAATCTGACGAGATATGTCGTCTTTTTCGACTTTATTTCAATCTGTTTTTGAGTGTGTGGAGAGTTATCTTCAACATCAAAACTATCTGAGACAGTTACCTCCATTGGCACTAAATAAATTAAATGTAACGAAGGGTCCAGGGGTTAATAATATACCTACACATTTTAAGTCGACTGCCTCCACTATTGGTAGACTATTAATATGAGCTTTAAAAAGGGTGTTGTACCCCCATTAGTTTATAAGGCTCGTATTATTCCTGTTTTCAAAGGTGGAGAGAAATCAGATGTCGAATGTTATCGAAATATATATTTTTGTATATAAATTACTTTTTGAAAGGTTAATTCATAAATCTATCTTAATAGAGAATTCACATGGGTTGAAAAACCGATTATTACATTTATTTGATAGCTTGGATCGTACCAAGCAGATTGATGGTATTTACACAGATTTTCACAAAGCTTTTAACAGGGTTGAACACAGGATACTGTTACAGAAGTTGTTTATGACGGAATCAGAGGCGATTCGTGGCATTGCTTTAAATCCTTTGTCACAAATCGCACTCAGAAGGTTATGTTGAATGAATATGAGTGAGGCCTTGTGCCAATTATATTTGAGGTGCCACAAGGCTCCATTTTGGGTCCTTTTTTATTTGTGATATTTAACAACGATATTGGTAATTGTTTTAGTTTTTGTGATTTTCTTTTATACGCCGATGATAAAATAATTTTTTACACTATCGACTGTGTGGATGCAGGAGGAGACATCTCAAAGTGCATGAGGATCTCAATCGTTTAGCTAAAAATTGTAAAAAAAAATTGGTTTTTAGTATAAAAAAGTATATGACTTTTACGAAAAAGTTGCAAAAAGGGTTTTAATATTTTAAAGACTATCAATTGTGTGATGTCAGGCTTCACCGTGTAAGTCTAAAAAAGACTTAGGAGGGACATTAGATAGCAAATTACATCTTGATATGCACATAGACAAAATCTAGAATAAGACTTATAAAATTTACCGGATCGTTATGCGATCTAGTTCTAATTTTACTCGTCACTATATTTATCTTTATTTAAACAGGACCCTTGTTCGCCCTCAAATAGAATGTGCTGTGCCCATATGGAATCCATTTTATAACAAATGTGTAAATATTTAGAGAAAGTTAAGAGGAAATTTTTGCATTGTATGCATTATATGTGTTTTGGTGTCAGGTTATCTTATCAACAGCTCGTACTCAGATATAATTGTATAAATTTGAAACATAGACGACGAAGCTATATTACTATATGACTAATATGACATATCCCGAAACCGCAATGACTATATACCATTGACAAATAAATGTAGACATAAAATTCCAATAAGAACTCTGTAAATTGCTTGCTATTGCTCGATGTCGTACCAATGCAGGAAAAAGATCACCATTTAATCGAATGCCTAATACTAACAACAATAAATGCAATATAATTAACTAGAGATTTACAGAAAACCAAAACCGCGCGATGACCGATGTCACTTGCTCAAAGAGCTCTGTAAACAATTTAATTCATTTGTCTTTATAAGTTGTCAGAGTTACTGAATAAGGGAACTGAACTAAAACGACCTATTGTGTGCTTACCGTATAATATATGGGGTTCTTTATAATATATCAATAAAAAAAATGACAGTCAAAAAATCTCACAGACCATATATGCGTTTATTCGGAAGAGCCATTTTGCTATAAAGCAAACCTACTTTTATTCTGAATAAAATAATGGATATTATTGATTTTATCATACTTAAATAAAATAAAAGTAGTTATTTGATTAAGTGGCACAGTAATTTTTAGTTAATTCGTGCAATAGTAAAAAGTTTGCCAATGTTGTAATAAAACAATATTAGATATGTTCTTTAAGTGATAGGATAATCCGGTGAGTTTTACGACGTGTTATTCCATTAAGTATGTGAAGTATTTTCAACAATCATTTATCATTCGATTCGTATTTAAATCTAAATTTTAGGAATAAATCATTTGAAAGCATGTACTAAAAAAAAAACTAAGGTAGAATCTCCATTCTTAGTGATTTTAAGTATTACATGAGTAAATAAAACTATAGTATTAATATAAATCCAAGAATGGAAAATTTATCTATGTATTATATTTTTAAACACATTATTTTAAATACCTCATTGGAGATAATATTCTTACAAATTCAATTAAGCAGCGTACTCTCAAAACCCGCTAAAACATTAAACTACTCTATTAAACTGTTCATATTTAGATTTGGAAAATCGACATTTTACTATTGGGTTTTCTGTGGTGGTCACCTGGCAATGATCTGAACATATTATATATTTATAATTAGCAGTAATAAGTGTTTAAATAAATTGTTATAGCTTGTTTTGATGTGAAATATTTGTTAAGGTGGAAGCTGCAGCCAACATTTTATGTTTAAGTGGGTTTAGATGATATCTGATTTTTTGCATGGATGGTTTTATCCTAAAAATATGTCATTTTAAATGTTCAATAAATATTACATTCTATTTGATGAACTAAATATTTAATTGAAAATTGTATTTTAATAATCAGTAAATCATTAAATTAATAAAAGTTTAATACAGTTTTTAACTGGAATACTAGAACTAGATAATTCTTATACTCAAACATAAAAAACTTTATAGAATTAAATATACAACTTATTATTGTGAGTAGGAAAAATCTATAATTAAAATAGATATTAGTGCCAATTCTGTAAGTACAACTCTCTGAACTGAATTAAAAAATATATATTTTTAGGCTTGTTTTAATTAAATTCCATGGTCACACATAATAAAAAGTTTACTTCTGTACTGTATAATTAATTTATTACAGAACTGATGCTTTTGTGCACCAGAATTGCCACCATTTTAATTTATCCATTTATTATTTGTTTTATCCACAGGTAGTATACTAGCCAGTAGTCAATTGTAATAATTTCCTATGTGCAACTATTTACAGGTATGGTGTCAATAAAACAAGAATTGGACTTAGAAACTAAGAAAAAACCTGAACATGTTGAAAGGAAAGATCCAACCTCATTTTTACCAGATGAACCTATGTCATATGAAATCAAAGAGAAGAAGAGAAAAAAGAAAAGAAAGAAACAGGAAGACCCATTCAAAGATCTAGATGAGAAAACTCCAGCTGGAACTCATATTGATTCAACTTTAGAGCTTACATTGGATCCAGAAGTATCTATTAAAGTTGAAAATATTGAGGTTGAGTTAGATTTTAATGATGTAAGTAATTTTCTTTTCAGATCAATGATTACTTGATAGACAATCTCGAAGTTGTAGTTAATTGTTTTCAACTTCTCTTGCTTATTAAAATCGCTCATACCAAAAGCAAGACTAATATGTCACATCCTGCTCTAGGGGAAAAGTGTCTTTTTAAATATATCAGTGACCAATGTGAAAAGATTAATAAAGACTACACTTATTTTTGTTTCATAAAAAATAACTTTTTAATTTATTTGTGATTTAGGTATCATTAATAAAAATATCCCTTCATGTTATTTTATTGACAGATTATATAATATGGTGATTAAGAATTTTGAACTGGGATGCCTATTTAAATTGAGTACCATCACTGTAATATGCTGTCCATATGGTTGCCAACCAGGGTTCTGACCAACATGACCATGGATATGGCGACATGTCATACCCATGGTCATCGAGCTGTGTCACTCACAGATTGCTGACCAAAATTCATTCATTTGGCTCGTTTCCCAACTAGCTGTGTTACCATACTGGATAATAGACTAAAAAAGAGCTTCATAATATTAAATGAGGAAGTATTAAAAAAAGCAATAACAAAAATTATTACACTAAATAGCAGCTACTGTTGAAATTTGCCTATTTTCGGGAATATAGGAACTTTTCAGGAAGTTTACCTGCAAACTTCTGAAATGTGGGAAGTATTGGAAGTTTAAGCGATATAGTACTTTTAATGTTGATTTGACTTTCTTATTGAGAAATAAATACTTTGTGGACACATAAGAATTGGAATCGAAAAAATAAAAATCAATAGCAGGTGGTGGCATCTCTGGCCCTTATGACTTCTTAGTGTAGGATTGTCAATCCATCTATGATGTCTTGAATATCCGATTGGAGGATATTGTGCCACTCCTTTACTGCAGCCCTTTAGTTCACCTATAGTCGTAGGGACTGTTACTCTTGCTCGGACACGTCTATTAACTTTGTACCAAATGTGCTCTATTGGGTTAAGATCGGGACTGCGTGCAGGAAAAACTTATATCCCGACCTCATTAAGGTACTCACTGACGGATTTTGCGGTATGGCCACGTGCGTTGTCATTATCACCAATGGACGGAGCAAAAGGTATGACATGGTCTTGAAGAACTTCTATGTATCTTTGAGCGTTTACACTTCCTCTATCGAACACAACAAATCGGTACGATCATAAGAGATACCTCCCCATACCATTATGGACCCTCCCTTGTAACTTACTGTTCCAGTTATAGCGCATGGAGCAAATCTCTCATTTCGATGTCTAGACATGCTGACGTCCATCTGGACCTCTTAAGCTATTCTGCTCTCATCTGAGAACAAAACGTTCTTCCATTCCTCTACACTCCAGTCAGCATATTCTCGCGCAAAACCAAGTATAGCTCTACGGTGTTGTGAGAGCAGTTGCGGAGTGCGATCTGGACGAAAAACCCTCAAATTACTTTCTGTTAGTCTTCTTCTGACATTCCTCACCTCAAAAAGACGCCTAAATTACCTCAAAAGACGTAAATTCTGAAAGCCCTTCGGCGGTATAAATTTATGAAAGAAAATAATGGTATAAGTGTTTTATTTATTGCTAGAGTACCCACACAAAACACACTTTTCCGTGTTCTGTCAGTACCCACTTAACATAAAACAAAACAGTTGATAAACCATAATTGACGGAACCGAAGAGGGTGGGCGGTTAATTGTGCCTGTGAGTGTATGATAAAACACTGTCAACATGGTAATATAAATGACATCATAAAGTTAGTAATATATAATCGTTAAATAGTGATTTACAGTTTTGTTTTCCAAAAAACAAAGTTTTATCAACAAAAAATATTCACTCCGCAAAACTTCCAAAACAATTTTGGAAGTTTCCAGAAAGTTTCCTCAGAGAAGTAAAGTTTCTTGGCAATTTTCATCTCTAATAGCAGTACAAATTATTGTATAACAATATTAAAAGTAGTCTGTTTGCAAATGGCTAACAACTGGCAAAGTCACCTTGTTCGGAGAGAAACGGAGGGCTGGCAACCATATGGAGGACGATTTCAATTCCTTTTTTTTTCTAATTAAATGATCTATTCCCCTACCTTTTTTCATGCATCAAAGGAGAGCACATGTCCAAACTAATCGAAAAAAATATAGATTGCCTGCTTTCCCTTTGGACCATGAGGTTGCCAATTACCAAACAATTGAGGGATTAGACAAATGCTCATATCTGTTATAAAAAAAAAACTAACTTTAATGCCTTTGTGACATACTTTATATATACACAGTTCTTTCATTTACTATCCATCTATGAAGAAAGCTTCTTAGACATATGATAATGTTTACCTCGTATCTATCCTCGTATTTTATCCTTTTCTGAGATGATTTTTCTTAAAACATAGTTACACTGAAACAAATCAACAAATTTTTCTCTTTCTCGACGAAACAACTTTTTTGTTAGATCTATCAAGATTTTTTTATTAATTTAAATTTGTCCCATTAACAATTTTTCTTTCTAATCAGTACAACATGGAAAACAAGGAGAAAAAATAAGTTGTACGTTCAACGGCAATTTTTATTAGACAGTTTATTGTCCCGAAGTGGTCCCATATCCTTTTTTCGGTATCGAATTATTACATTTGTTTTTATATCAAAATCGGTGAATGTACATTGTTCACCGATTTCCCGCAATTTCTTGAACGATTTTCTAATTTTTTTTTGGTAGACAGCATATAGACTTTTTCACACTCCATTAATTTCTAGTTTTCAAATACATAAAATATATGCATTAAACCAACCATAATATATAAAAAAAAATCAATGACAATACAGTAGAAGCTCCTTATTCGCAGAATCCTCTGTAGGTATCTACGTTCCTTAAATATGCCGCGAATACAGAAAACGCGAATACGGGCTGGCATTTTGTATAGAATAATAGGGGATACGTCCAAAAGTTCCTAAATAAAAGCAATATGTATGTCAAAATAAATACAATTGAGGTAAGATTATTGAAGAAGTACCAATTAAAATCAATCTTTATTTTCAGTTTTTAAAGAGCTTTAATTTCAGATTCATAACTAAGTAACTGTAGCGTTCACAATGTTGATTTTTTTAAAGTATTTTATGAAAACGACGCTGAATTCCTTTATGTTAGCGATTGCATCCGCGAATACGCAATTTTTCTAGATTGGAATAACCCTTCATCAAGTTCCATTCTGCACACCCAAATTTGCTAGTCAAAAATGTAAAACTACCTTGTATAATATTATTATAACCAGTTGTTCAGAGTGTAAGGACAGAAAGTTATATTTCTTTCTTCTTTATTTTATAACGAATATAACCAGATCTGAATTCATAAAACGTGATAACAGAAACCACGCATTTAAATAACCTAGTTTTTTGTTCTCAGTTTGCCAATACCAGTGGTCTCATGGTGGAAGGTCCAAACAGCGAAGACAGTCAAGAACCAGTCGTGAAACTAGAAGAACAAAACAAGGAAGCGGTGCTTCTAACATTCGAGAGCATAATTAACAATCAAACAGAACTTGCCTGCGAACAACAATCTGCTATAATAGCAGGACCTTCCCAAGTCTGCAAAGTGTGTCATCTAGTCTTTCAATCAACGAAAACTTTAGAAATGCATCAGAAAAGGAAGCATAAGTCGTTTAGGAAATCTTTTAAACATATCTGCGATTACTGCGGTATGTCTTACGAAATGAAGAACAGTTTAGTTTCTCATATTAAAAGGAAACACGCACCTGGAACTACTCCGGATGATAATGAGGAGAGAACGTGCGATATTTGCGCTCTAGTCTTTAAGGGAATCACCAGATTAAGAATGCACATGAGAAGGAAGCATGGGTCGTTCGCGGAATCATTCAAACATGAGTGCGAAGATTGTGGATTGACATACGATAAATACAGAAGTCTGATAGTGCACAGACAGCGGAAACATTTGAACGATAGGAAACCGGTTGTGAACCAATGGTTCAATTGTCCATTTTGTCCCAAAGCGTTTAGTAAGAGAGAGACTTATTCGCGACATGTCCAAAGGAAACATAAAGTGTCTGAAGAGGAAACGGCGAAAGCTGAAGATGATTTAGTAAGTTGCAGGAATGAGGAGACTGGGGAGATAACTTGTAAGGAGTGTCCTTTAGTGTTTTCGACAATGAATTTTCTGAAATTACACATGAGGAGAAAGCATAATGCTTTAAAAGAAGACTTCAGACTGAAGTGCAGGATTTGTAACCTGTCCTATGACAAGATAGAGAGCCTCAAAAGACACATTAGAAGGAAGCACGACAATGACACTCATTGTGAAGTGTGCAATAAGAAGTTTGACTCGAAAGAGTCTTATATTAACCATTCTCACATAAAAGTCATTAAGGAGTGCAATATTTGCGGATTAATTTTCGCATCGCAAGGCGGTTTAGCGAAGCATATGCGGTGTACGCATAAAATAGATTCGCCAAATGTAACCTATTGTCATATATGCAATAAGGGTTTTCACGATAAAAGGCAACTGAAGCCGCATCTAATGAAAGTCCATATGAAAGTTTCGTACACTTGTAAATATTGTAAGAAAGTATTCAAAGCTAAAGAGAGTTACAGAAGGCATGTGCTGTTCAAGCATCCAGTAAACAATCATTTTGTCTCTCAAATGCATCAATGTGATCAGTGTCCGGAGAAGTTTACAGACGAATTCGAATTGTGTCGACACATAAATTTGACACACGGCGAGGTGTTGGGTGATGGGAAACTACCATTTGTCACTGTGAAAAAAGAGGAAGACACGAAAGATCTGTTTCAATGTACGAAATGCCCAGACGTATATTCGTCCTTCGAACAAATCAAATTGCATTACGAGCAGAACCATCACTACGGTCCGGAGACACAGTGTCAGTTATGCGGTGAAATGATGCATAGCGGCGAAGTGCAGAAGCACATAAAAAACGTGCATACTGTTACCTCGCATACTTGTAAATATTGTGAATTTAAGACTACAAACAAAACAAGTATGACTCAACACGTTTTGAGACATAAGAACGCTACGACATTACACTGCGACTTCTCCGGGTGCAAATATAAGAGTTACTACGATGGTGCTATGCAGAAGCACAAACAGAAACATGAGGAATTGGGTGTTAAATTACAATGCTCCAAATGTCCTTTTCAGACGATGAATAAATATATATTGAAATATCACGAGGAAGCGCATATGACTGGCAAGAAACGATATGCATGCGATCAATGTGATTATTCCACAATACTGCCAGCGAATTTGGTGCAACATAAATATAAACATTCTAATGAGAAAAGGTTCAAATGTGAAGTTTGCCCTTTCGCCACAAAGTACAACACGTCTTTAAGATTCCATGTTAAGAAAAAACACTGTGATTTACCCAGTTTCAGTTAATTTTATTTTTTGTTTTGTTTATGTATTTAATTATTAAAGTATTTGGTGTTATTGACATAGTTTTTTAATAGTTATAATTATCTCTATTGATTCGAATTGAGCAAACATGATATACATTCGTCTAGACTCGCCAACGACCAATTACGTGTCATTCTACCGCCGGAGCGGTGTGTGTCAAGCTGGCAGCGCCGCTCTCTCTTTCCATTTTGAACAATCCGTTAGGATTAGCAGTGCCGTTTTATTATTAGACACGTCATACCCGTAAATCATGGCGCTTTAAACCTGCGTAAACTTTATTGTATTAGCGTTACATAACACAACCACAAGGGGCGCGAAAATAATCAAAAATAATTATCTCCACGTTAGGATTATACAGCATACCTCTTGTTAAAACGAGATAAACATGCTTGCTTAGATTTACGTATCAACTTCATTCTCTCTTAGTCGTAGAACGATGCACGAAAAAATGACCGCGTTTAAGGACTCTTACTGTTTTTATTAAATTAAAAAAAGATTAAATACAATACTTGCGCGTGAAATAATATCTTTTTGCTTTTCTCATTGTCAACGTGTAATTTTTGCATTGTATATGCGTGTTTAAACAATGCAAAAGGAAGGTGTTTTTCTATAACTTTCCACGGAAAATTTCGAGTGAAAATGATATTAGCCACAACGCTTACTGAAATGTGATTAAAGTGAAACTCGGGCAATTGCCTTGCTTTATTGTTCTCAACTTAGTGACGCTGCTGGACTGACGCCAACGCCAATCTGGCAGCGCTTGCTGTATCTTCTAAAAACTATAGTACTAGTAGGGGAGCCCACGATGCTAAATCGGGATTTACTCGAGCGTCATAGAGACCTATTGGGGTTTGACGCATACCGTCCCATTCGCATTCGGTCACGAATTCAAAAATGGTCCCATTCGCATTCATTCCCATTCGCATTCAGTCCCATTCGCATTCGGTCCCATTCGCATTCGGTCCCATTCGCATTCGGTCCTATTCGCATTCGGTCCCATTCTCAAAATGGTCAAAACCAGTGGGGTGAGCACGGGTTCCTCGATAGTATCGTATCAGAATATTATAATATAATGGGACCGAATGCGAATGGGACCATTTTTGAATTCGTGACCGAATGCGAATGGGACGGTATGCGTCAAACCCACCTATTGGGTTGCGAAGATTAGATAACAAAAAAAAAATCATATAATATATACCTTTTCACCGGTGGAGGAAGCGGCTATAGATTTTTAAAAATGTAAAAAAAACTGTTGTATGGACATACTCGAGCGCGTCAGATATTAATATTATCCATGTCCTACGCATTTTTAAAAACTGTCGTATGTTAATCTGATCGTTTCCATCTGATCGATGGCGGTGGTTATACGTAAGGGTTGAAAATGAAAAAAAAAAATTTTATCGAGTGCGTCAGATTTTTTGAGGGGATGTCAAGTGAACCTAAAAAAAAAGCTCTCATATAATAATCTGACGATTTGGATGTGACGCAAACGCGTGACCATCATTAGAATGTGCAAAAAAAATCGCCATTTTGAAATACTCTAGCGCATCAGATTAAGATATATATGGTTCATCTTTATGCCCCAGACGTGATATCTCATAGGGTATGTTCCGATATACACTGCGAGCACTGCGCAGTGGTCTTACTGCTGAAAAATCCGTTCCGTTAAGGACTGCCAGTACACTGCTACAGTACCCTAGAGAAATTTATGACGTCATAAATTGCCGCCATATTTGTACTGTGAGCACTGGAGATTTCGAGGTAAGGTGCTCGCAGTGCTTTTGATCACGTGATCAGTCGAAACAGAATCAGAAAATGATAAGTTTCTAAATAAACAAAAAAAGAATACTTACGTTTATTATAAGATGGATTTAATTGATAAATAATTTTTTTATACAATTTTCCAATTTTATAATATTTTCTTTTGAAAAGAGGGAATCTTTATATTCACCTTGCATTAACAAATTTGAAAATGGCGCCAAAAAATAGGATTAACAGTATACTGGACTGCGTTCCGTTTTAGAAAGTCACCAGTATAACTAGCTATAAAGGAACGGGCTTCCAGTATACTAAATTGACGTCATACTGTTCGTCATACTCATGACGTCAGTGGTCGCAGTGTATATCGGAACATACCCATAATCTGACGATTAGATGAAGGGATTTACTTAACCTGACAATTATTATTTTTTTTAATTTTTCAAATCATTGAGCTTAATTAAATAGAAAAGCACCGGAGTTAGCATGCAAATAAAAAGGTGTATTTTTTTTAGGCAGAATACTTATATTTATAAGAAAATGATTATATGAAAATTAAATTTTTACTGTATTTTTTATTAATTATCATCTTCATCGCTAGAATCATCTTCCTCTTCTTCTCTTAGTAAATATGTAAAAAGTTTAATTCACAAAATTTACATTAAAATAACAAAATAAGCAAATACGTTGGAAATACTTTGTAAACAATATCACGCCACGAACGAATCTGTGTCATCAGCTGTCATGGCGTCATGGCAACCGAAACCAGGGTGGGGACGGAGTGAGAGAGTAATAGATAGAAAAGAGTGAGAGAGAAATAGTGATGCAGAGAAGGAAATATAGGTATCACGTAGCTGCACGCATTAAATCTTATCGATGAATTTTTATTACTTCGGCTTGTGAAAATCGACAGATTATATATTTTTCGTAATCCTTGATCATTCTCTTCAAAATAAAAAAAAATTAGCCACACTCGAGAATGTCAAAGTGACGTTTTTTTTACAACTTTGTAGCCTTCCCCCTTCTTTACGTCACTCTCAAATTGTCAGATTAGAGGTATGTAAGTACACATTGTAGGATGTAACTAGCTCACCTTACCTTAATCTGACGCGCTCGAGATTTTCAGATGATCAATTTTTTTTTTACTAATCTTATCCTTCGTCCTTGCCGGGCGGCCATTTTATTGGGCTCATACTTGGTCCAGGTACTTTACTGGGTACAAGGTATCCCCCTGTATATTAATCTGCCGCGCTTTAGTAAATCCCGAAATCCCCGCTTCGGCTGCTACTATACGTAGAAGCTCGTTGTTTTAAAATATCAAGTCATATTAAACTACATAATTTTGCTATTTGTCCCTATTACGTAACGAATGATAAATAAGGGTGTGGAATTGTAGATGGATCAAAATTAATTTCAAAATCGAAGACTTGCGTTGGCAGACATGCCGGAGTTAATCATTACGCACGACCGTCGATTTAACATGTCTTAGTTTGTTTAAAAAGGTAATATATAGTAGTTCTAGAGTTTACGTCACTACACCATGGACAATTAATAGGAATTTTCATTAAGAAAGCAATCAACTTGTGCTTATTATTTATTATAAATATGTAATGTACATTTATACATTTCTACATACAGATACTACATAATGATATTTATGTCTTTGAAAAAACCACTACATATAAACTTGCATGAAAATGAAAAAATCCACAGAAGTAAATTAGGCATGTACAGTCAACAGCACGTAACGTTATTTTTATCATTATGTTATTTTTCTACACTTGATTCCGAACCTCAACGTTTTGTAGTTTGAAATCAATAGGTGATATTTGAGTTTTATTTAACGTTAGGTTACTAATAGATACCATTATTTTAATACTTTGAAGATTGATTTTTATAAAGTGATAAAATAGCCCAACAGCTAAAATATATTTTGTTAAACAGAATAAAAAACAATTTAAGTACTTTAATTGTGTGTGTGTGTGAGAGAGAGAGAGAGAGAGAGAGAGAAAGACAAAATCTAGAGACTGCATGAGACTAGATGTTGAATAAGCCATATCTCATCGGTTCAATCTAATTTATAAGCTTGAGTGAATTGTATATTGATGAAAGTCTATGATGTATCTCACTTTTCATTTTTATCTGTGATGTAAACTGTACAGAATCCCCTTTGTTCTTACTCGTTCGATTCATCAGATCGATCGTCGGACTATTGAGATCTTTTTTTCTCATTAATTCGACCGTTCGAATTAATTTACTTTTAAAAATAGTCCTGCTATATTTAAATGTTTTAATAATTTTGTAATAAATAAAAATCGCTTGGTTAAACAAATTAGTGATGGGCAATTTTTAGAAACCAAAACATTTAGTAAAATGTTTTAGTTTATTCTGCCAGTATATTGTTATAGTTCCCACGGGTACTTGATTATGCAACTGGGTTCAACTATAAAAATATACAGGAAGAATAAAAACATTCGGTTACATAGTCAAATCCTGTTGAATCATTTAGTTCCTGTGGGAACTATAATAATGTACATGAAAAATATAAATATTTAAGTTACATCGTTGAAACCAGTTCCATCATCTATTTCCCGTGGGAATAAAATATAAATATGAAAAATATAAACATTTGGTTACATAGTTGAACCCAGTTGCATCATCAAGTTCCCGTGGGAACTATAAAAATATACAGTAAGGATAATAACACTCTGTCATATAGTTGAACCCGGTTGCATAATCTAGTTCCCATGGGAGCTATAAAATATGCAGAAAAATTATAATGGTTACATATTTTTAAGCTTTTTCAATTAAGAATATTTTTCAGTATAACATTGTAAATGCAAAATTGATCAAACATAACAGTTACATAACTGAATCCGGTCGCATATACAGTTCCCGCGGGAACTATACACAATAAGCAGAAAAAAGTTACTATAAACCGTACTACCCTGTATTATATGTCGCCGCCAACTATTTTTAGTTTGGCATGGCTTGTATTTTAGATAAGTCATTAAAAAACGCTCAAACTCAAAAACCGCATCCTGTAACGTTCATTTTGTATATTACACCGTCACCATGGCGCTAGTTTCGCTTTGCTTACAAAATGGCGTCGAAGCTGTAATCTGTCTGTATGTTTAATTTTTTTTTTAGGGAGATGAAAGTTTAAATTGTTTTATATAAAAAGCCACTCAAACAACCAACCAACAAGTTGACTGAGCTATGAACAGTATGCTATGTGAACGTAATGAAGAACATTATATTCGGTAAGGATGACCGGAGGCCGATTATAAATTTATATAATAACTTATATATAAAATAACACTAATTATTCGATGTTGTTATTGATTAATGGCAACCCAGCCGGTATTGCCATCAGGCAGTTGTATTTGTATGAGACGCATCGTGCCGCCTTTCTGGTCGGTCGTAATTAACTGGAAAAAAAAATTACATATAGATAACATCACATACATTAACAAAGGTACCACAACATCCAGATCAGAGACAATATGGAAAAGTTAATTTTCTACTATAAGTATATAAATGATAATATTAATAAAACGTATCGGTTTATATATACTTTTGATAAGTAATACGCTTTACGCTAATGAGGTAGAAAAATAAACATTGAAACAAATATTACACTATGAATCTGTATAAAAAAGTATAATTTACATAAAAAAAAATCTTACCTGCGCTTGATCATTTGATCTGTCCTCCGTTGATGTTTCTATTAATCCATTCAGATCATCTGTAAATATAGATTACATAAACTTAAAACCTTTTGTATGAGCTAAAACCTACCCGACGTAGATAAAAAAAAAAAGAAACAAGATGCTTTTCTGTATCAAAATCAAGTCTCATCATTGACTTTGAAACATTAAAATCAGTTCTCATTAGACAGACTAACATCTTTATACATACATTATGAAATTCAATAGAACATCATCATCTCCAAGCTATTAATTCCCACTGCTGGGGCGCTCACTCCTCATGGATGGAGACTTATCACGCACCACGCGGGCCCAGAAAGATTCCATCATTAAGAAAGACTTCTGGCACAGAAGTGGCGACATTAATAAACCGGTGATGTGATGTATATGAAGATTGCTTTTATTGCAACTAGTTTAAATTAAATAAATGGTACTTACGTAAAGTTAAGAAAGTCGCATCAGTAGGCTGGACTACATTAATCGTCGATTCTGTAAACGAGGAGAAAAAAACCTCATAAATTTTACATTCACAATGCTTATAATAAAATATGCTGTAAATGTATCACAGATGTTGTAATTGCACTTTTAAGACATAACTATGATATTATATATGATGCCTGGCAGAGTAAGCTGGATGCCTAGCAGCATTTTTTGCGAACTGTCAAAGACATTCGACTGTGTTTAGTCATGAAACACTGGTGGTGTGGGCAAATTACAACATAATGGTTTATCGAAAAGTTTACTAAATCTAATAAAATTATATCTTTCTGCTAGAATTCATAAAGCTCCTTGTCACGGAGACTAAGCTGTGCAGCTTTTGCTGGTAAGAAATCTGATTCTTGAAAGATGTTCCAACGGTAAGGTTGGTTAGTGTATAGATTTTCTTGAATAAGTATCTTTTAAGAGAAGAATTATTTCTCACTTATTTAAAGTTTGAAGTCTGTTTTATTTAGAAAAAAAGCTTTATTTAACAGCTCACCTGTAGTGTCCACTTGGTTATCGTCTGAATCTAACTCTTCTGTGGTTGCCAATATCTAAAAAATAATAAATCAATGTAAATATTAGAAAATATGTCAAATCATAACTGATTTGATAAACATTTACTTCACGTTTACACCAAACGTATCGTCGGCCGCTAACTGAGAGCGGGTTACGTAGTGTAGTTTATGTAAACAATGCCTAAACAGTAGTTTCATTTAAATTATTTGTGCAAAGTAAGTAGTCTTAACACCTCAAGGCCTTTATTTGTTAGTGATTCGTTTTACCATTGATAACTTATTTCGATGTTCAGGGTGGCTATAGACAAATATGAAATGAAATTCATTCTGGCCTGTCCAGGTCATGCGGTTAAACTCATTCGAGCAGGGGTTCCCAAACTTATTTCGTTTGAGAAGATATTTTTCTCTGCTCGCAAATTTCTCGATAACAGCGATCACATAGCCCAATAAATCGGCCCTAACGCACTAACTAGTGAGATCGGGCGGGCACTCACGATCATCCGATATCAGGACCCCAACTCTCTAACAGCGATTAGATTTCCCAAATTACAGTGTACCTGATAAATTGGGTAGTGAAATCGGCGCTTTAGTAATCCCGACTCACACATGGTCGGTCTTTTTTATCCCTGAAGTTAGTAGGTTAAATGGAAAAGGAAAGGTATAGATATATGTATATTTTAAATTAACTTACCTCGTCTGGAAATTTATCAGTCTTTAATTCTATCGCGTGAACGTCTACCAGTGGAGCGTTGATCCCCTGCAATACAAAATTAAGAAATCAGTAAAAATATACTGGAATTATTTGAAGTGATAGTCACTGAATTGTATATACAAAAATACGTTTTTTTTTAAATATTATAACAATGAGATATGTATCTACTGCGTGTCAGGTTACCACAATTTTGACCTAAACTTGAACTAAGGTTTAAAATCTTGACTGTTTTGTAATGTCTGGCGTGCAGTTGAATGTACATACAAAAAAAATATATTTTAATAGGGTATTCTACGCTGACAGCTGTCGCGACAGTGAAATCACACAATGGCGGGTCGTGTTATAAGACACGTGACACAGACAAAAATCACAACTTTTAATATTAAAATTATAAGATAACAAATCATATTGGATTCTTTAGCATCAGTAACGTTGTCTTTACATTCAGGCAGTTTGTGATATTGATATCCAATAATTTTTTATCCAGAAAAAAAAGATAATCCTTCGATTTTACAACCCAAAATGAGAATCTGTTCATTACGATGTGAATTTTTGTGCAATTTCCCGACTTAATTTTCACTACCGAAATTACACGATTAACAAATTATATACGACAGCCCTAGCTGAGTGATTCGCATACCGGTTTCAAGGTGTCGCCACCACTGAAGTCCCGTATTCGGTTCCCGATTCAATGTAGAAAATTATTAGCAACATATTTATATCCATCTATCATGATTGTAAGAAGCTCCTCGCTGATTGGTTAAAAGAATTTATGGTATTAACAATAACTTAATATTAAATAATTAGACAATAAAATAGGAAAACACACTCTCTCTCTCTCACACACACGCAAACACACACACACACACATACATACACACGCACACGCACGCACACACACGCACACACCGCGCCCGCGCATTTAATATGCACTACATGCACTTAAATTCAAAACAGTTCTCTTTTCATTTTTGTTTTTACTTTTGTACATAAATATAAAATTGTTAAAATCTCACATATACAAACACAGTGCTATATTAATGGAAGAGCGGGATCTCCCAATACAAGCAAAGATTTGCTTAAAGGAGTCTCCAAAACCTATAAGTATATGATATTGTCTAGATGATGTAATAAACATTTTTTCATTTCATTTTCATCTCTTTCTTCATCACCAATGTTAACATTAAAAATAAAGAAAAAAACGCGACAATGATTTAATGTAACTAACAATTTTTTTTAAGTATTTTATTTTATGTCAACGTCATTAACTAGTATAAACCAAAATCGCTTTCCTGTCCCTATATCGCTGTGTATGCTTAAATCTTTCAAACTACGCAACGGATTATGATGCTTTTTTTTCATAGAAAGGGTGATTCAAAAAGAAGGTTTTTATATATAATACAAGACCACGCAGGCGAAGCCGCTGGCGGCAGCTAGTATCATATAAACAAAACTTACATTCTCAATTGTTTTTATAACCCTCGGTTGATTCACCACTATCGATTCAGCCACATGTCCCTGCAATAGTGAAAACAAGAGCATTTTTAGGATGTTTCAAAATCAATCTAAATTAATACATTAAAATGCTTAACAAATCCATTTGGTCCATGGCACCCTGAGATTTCTTGAGCATTGTTCATTAAGAATGTTTTTCAGTATGGCATTGTGAATGGATTTCACTTAGAGAAGTCCAATTAATAATATCCAAGGCGTATCCATATTTACTTAACATTGTTAATTTCAGGAAAATTGTATTACATATTCTAACACTAATGAGAAAACTATCTATATAAATTATGTTTGTAATAAAGAGCATATCTATCATTTGCCTTTTTTCTATTTTGTATTATTAATAAATTTAGTCTTTTTTTGTCCATCGGGTAGATTATTAAAGATATTAAACACTTATTTTTAAAATATTTGTGTAATCAATAAATTTCAATCAATATATACATTGTGTTGAAATGACGCATGACGTCACATTTCTGTACTTTTATACATAATTGTAACGTACCTCCCATTCCTCAACTTTAATGCTAAGTATTTATTGTTAAATTAAAGCATAAATTATATATTTCTATTATCTGACTGATGGACTTCATACAATTTTTTTTATCCAGCCATCTTCCCTGATGCCAACGTGTGCCAGCATGTCTCTGTCTGTGTTTGTTATGCAGTACCAAATACTAATAGACCTCTACCCGATTTTAAATGAAGGATACAAAAATTGGTGTCCTATTTTCCCAACAGTGGAAACCGAATGGCACAGTGGTTAGCGCGATTGTGGAGAATGAGCAACACTCGCAAGGGTCGGCCATAGGATGGGTGACCTAAAATTAATTATCTCGAGCTCCTCCGCACTTCAGAAAATACGTTAAACCGTTGGTCCCTGCTGTGTATGCAGTCGTTAATACCCACCGCACCGCACTGGCCCAGCGTTACAACGCTTACCACTCATTACCCATTCTCCGTATTCAATCCCATCCATAGGGAAGACCTGTTCCCCACCAGTGGAGACAACAAAAGGCTGACGATGTTGGTGATTTTGATGATAATGATAAATAAGTTAATTATGCCGTCGACATCATTATTCATCATCATTATACCATAGTCATGTTAAGATGGTGATGAAAAAGAAAATGATGACGTCATTGTCATCATTTAATTATATATATTTTTTTTATTTTTCAGAATCTTTTGTTGTTAAAAACATGTCAGTTCTATAGTACCTTATTACTAAGTTTTAGCTTTCCAGCATCGATATATATATATATATAAGATGATAGTATGATAGTAATGATAGTGATGACTTGATGGTGATGACAGGAGGAGCTCGGTGGCGCAGTGGATAAGCGCCGCGGCCCTTTCGCAAGGGCCGGTCACGGGATGGGTGCCGAAAAAATTATTATCTCGAGCTACTTCGTGCTTCAGAAGGCACGTTAAGCCGTTGGTCCCGGCTGCATTTGTAGTCGTCAATACCTGCCAATCCGCATTGGGCCAAACCTAACCATCCATAAGGAACGCCTGAGCCCCTGCAGTGGGGACGTAAAAGGGCTGATGATGATGATGATGATGATGATGATGATGATGATGATGATGATGATGGTGATGGTGATGACGGTGATTATGTTGACTTACCGTGCTGTGCATGTGCGAGTACAGCAGTTGTTTCCTCATATAACCGGCGCCGCACGTGAGACACTCGTAAGGTTTCTTGTCGCTGTGCACGAATCTGTGCATGTTGCGATTGTCGCGGGAATTGAACGATTTACCGCACACCTGGGGGTTATTAGACTTTATTGCTATATTTTACACCATTGCTATATCTTTCTTTGTTGCTCTATACTTATATTATAAAGAGGAAAGATTTTTTTGTTTGGTTTGCAACGAATAGGCTCCGAAACTCTCGAGGTCCCGGGTTCAATGTTGAAAATGAACTTTTCTATATTGTCTCAGGTCTGGATGTTGTTTTACCTTCGTTGTCTCAGATACTCTATAATACGGGTGCTTTAGCTACACATCCTGGAATCTGAGCAATGTGTGTGATGTTGATCAAAAAAAAAAAAAAACAAAAACTTACTACCGTAGAACTAACATTTTCTGTATTGTGCAATAAAGTATTGAATAAACAGATGGTACAAGTATAAACATGTGAACATATAACCCTGTAGGGCAAGACAATTTGGAACAACAGGCAAATGTTAAAAATATATCAAATAAACAGTTGGTTTGAGGTTAAGCAAATAATACAAGTATTTAAATTTATAAATCACAATAGTAACATCAATTAAAAACTTTTATTAACATTATATAAGTTCTGAATCGTATTCCGTACTGTAAACGAGCAAAAAAATTGTAAAAGAGCCCCCCTTGAGTGTAATTATTTATTTATATAGTTGCTATATAAATACATAGTCTGTAAGTATTCCAAGCGTCTACCTGTTTTCATTAATAATAAATTGAGCAAAAACAAGCAAGAAAATTACGTTCGAAGTATGTGGGCGTTAACGTACCTCACAATGGTAAGGCTTCTCGCCGCTGTGGATCCTGGCGTGTTTCTTATAATGTTCCGGATATACGAATGTCGCTTTACATATCTCGCACTGCAGTGGACGTTCACCTGTATGGGCGGCCTTCACATGGTAATCTAATAATCTGTAACAGTTTAGAGTTTTATTACACCGTGCCATACCATGACCGTATAAGTCCCGCATATTTCTAATGCACTAAAACCTTGTCTAATAACACCCGTGTCATTTGAAAATAGAAAGTATCGATGGCACAAAAAGCAAGAAATGAATTATTTATTAAGTTTTAGTTTACCCAATCCATCTCAAAGTGCCAATTGAACGCAATTACGTCACCAAAATGGCGGCCAGACGCATTAGCAATTTGCGGGGATTATATTATGAACTAGAGCCTCCAATCTTGGTATTATAGGATACCGCATATTTTTTTTAAACCCGTGTTGCGGGATTACATGGAGTAAATGATGAAACTAAGAAAATTAAAGTCATAAATAGTTTTGTCAACATTCAGTTAAAAATATTTTTGGTTTACAATTTAAATCAGTAGTAATATATTTTGTAGTTAAAAGTTTAGTCTTTTTTTCGATATTGTTTGTTAAAGAGAATTTAACGCAAATACAAATAATACCATATAATATTACTCCAAAAATACCAAATTCGGACCGATTTCAATCGATTGAAAAATAATTTTTTTTTTTAGTGTCTCACACGCCTATTTAGGTGTCATATGGCTGTCAAATTGAATAATTACGTCACAAACGAAATTGCAGCGTTTTAGCGTCAAATTAAAATGTTATTGACCAATCACATTTTATTAGCATTTAAAGTTGGATTATAAAAAAATATATCATTTATGTGTACATCTTGACCCAATAATATGTTTCGAATTATTATCAACTCCCGGACAGGCAAAGAAGACTAAAGGATATTGATTATGAAATATCAAAGGTTACAAAAAAAATTAAACCCATTTTCAGAGCGAGTATTTTTTCCATTCATTCATCATCAGCCTATAAATGTCTCCTCAGCTGGAGCACTGGCCTTCCCTTTGGATGGAATTGAATTGAATTGAATAGGGAGAATGGGCCATAACCCACCACGCGAGCACAGTGCGAATCGGTGGGTGTAGACAACTGCAGATCCAGGACCAACGGCTTAAAATTTGTTTCTCGGTCACCCATTCTATGGCCGGCCATTACGAAAGTTGCTTAACAATCGTATCGCTCTCTCCAGAGCTAGTGTAACAAAAATATAATTATTACCTTCGCCGCTTAAACCGTTTGGGGCACTGTTGGCATTCATAACGTTTGTCGTCGAGATGGGTGGCGCGTTTATGTGAATGCAGATTAGATCGCTGCGTGAATGTAGCCCCGCATATATCGCAAGCGAACGGACGTTCACCTGTTTAAAAAAAAAATAAAAACAGCATATAATTTTATAGGAATTGTGGAAAGAACTTTGATTACTTTCCTTAAAATACTACAACGAATAGAGATTATTACGTCACATTGTTGACAAAAGTGTGTCAATTGGTTATTGAGAAAAGGAGAGGTAACTCTGGTTGAAAGGCGTGATAAAGAGTGTGAAGACGATCTAAATTGGCTCCTAGCGATTATTGACCTTTTTAAAGTTGAAAAAACACCGTTGCGGACATAGATTTTCCAGTGAAATAACAAATTAAAACGGTTGAAAATGAACATTTTCAAAACAAAAACGGTAAATATTTATTAACCGGGATAAAAACCCTATATAATTAATAATGTAAGAAGTGTATTGAAATAGAGGGGGATATATTTTTTTATACATTTCTATCATCATTTTTAATACCTAAGTATAATAATACACCACAATATGTGTACATCAAAATTCAGCCCTCTAGGAGTTTTAGAAGAAACCTTGAAAAATAAAAACTATCATTCAAACAAAGCAACGAAAATTGTATTTATTATTGTTATAACGCTCACTATTTTGGTAATGACATGATTTATGTAAATGTCTTATGATAAAGAGCTGGTAAGGATCTTTCGCTTGTTCTTTATGTCAGCTAAAAGACGTCCTGAACAAGTGGTAGGGGAAAAAAAATTTTTTTGGAAAATCAAGTGCTTAAAATAAGCTTACTTGAATAAAGATTTGTTTGTTTTTTTTTTTAAATAAATATTTATCTCACCGGTATGCGTTCTGATATGGTCCCTCAGTTCCGCTCGTCTCGCGAATGCCTTACTGCAGTCGTTACATGAATAAGGTCTCCGGCCAGAATGTATCACCCCGTGGACCTCGAGGTTGTGTTGAGTTGCGAAAGCTTTATCTGATTACCGAACACATAATTAGAATAGATTTCGGTAAGTAAAATTAAGAAAAGGGTATAGAAAGATTATATTTTATAAGTAACATGATCAGTTGCACAAACTTCCATTAAGGTTTAATGGCGCCTTTAAACTAGGTAATGTTGTTTTAAAATAATGATGTTTTTAATGGACGTTTGTGCAACTGGCCGTTATAATTTCTCACGTGAACGGAGGCGTTGCTATATCAACGGTTACGGACTACTTATTTGTAAGACTAAAATAATAGTAACTGTTTACCTTTACATGGCAAAGTTACAGACTTTTTAATAATATTATAAAATGTATAATTTAGTGACACATTGAGTTAATCTATATTGTAATTACTGTTTGTGTCATAAATAATTTTAAAAAAGAAAGACCCCCCAGAATAAGGTCTACCTTTTTTGCTCACCAGATGGCGCTACAATCGAGACTAAATTTAAATTGTACATCATAATACATAAATAAACTATTTAATTAAAAACTAGATGTTCTCCCGCGACTTCGTACGTGTAAATCATAGCCTATGTCAACTGCGTAGTACCCGTAAGGGAAAGAATTTTTAAAATCTGTCCCGCAGTTCCAGAGCCTATTATAAGATGCAAACAAACAAACATTCAAATCTTTCCCCTTTATAATATTAGTATAGATATCATACATGACCAATAAAGACTAACCTCTGATTTAGCTCTTCTTTCATCCCCCTTAATTTTGCACTAATTTGTATTACCTCAGTTTTTAAAGCACTAACATTCATTGACCCGTAATTCATAATTGCTTTAATGAATCTCAAGTACCTCAAAATAAGCGCAAATTCGTTTAAACGAGCGTAGTTCACTGACAAAGGGTGATATTTGACTTTTTAAAGACCTCACGCTACACTAGCACCTCTAGTGGCAAATTCAACAGCGTTAGTCCTCATTAACTAGAGACCCTATCGGATTTAATCCGGCTCTGTCGATAAGTATTCGATTAATTATTGCTAAAAGCCAGAATAATCTGCAGACTTACAGTGTAGCGACATTGACTTCGATTAAACTGACATTGGATTGAAATAACAGTATATTTATATCAAACTAATAGTTCGAATATTAAACATTGAATGCATTTTGATTAATATTATTTCATTGTGTGTAATATTCAATGAACTTTGACTCAATCTAATGCCAATCAAATCGAAGTTTGTTGCTTTTACCGCGATTCTAAGCTTTATAACAAAGTAAAAAGGCACAATAAAATTATTTTTCATTATAATATAACTCACTGCATACTTTGCAGATGAACTCCTTGAGGCCGGAATGTGTTTTCTCGTGTTGATTGAGATTCTGTTGCGTGAAGAAAGTCTTGTTACACTGTTCGCACTTAAACGGACGAGGTCGCATCTGTTCGCAATAGAAAATAAATAAATTACATGTCAAACGATCTTCGGCTTAATTATCTGATTTTCAAATCTATCACGATATCATTTATGGAATCATCATCAGCCCTTTTACGTGCCCACTGCAGGGGATCGGGCCTTCCTTATGAATGGTTAAGGAGGCCATGACCCTCCACGCTGGCCCAATGTGTATTGGAGGGTATTAACGACTGCAAATGCAGCCGGGACCAACGCCTTAACGTGCCTTCCGAAGCACGGAGTAGCTCGAGATAATAATTTTTTTGGTCACCCATCCCGTGACTGACCCTTGCGAAAGTTGCTTAACAACAACGATCGCGGGCCGCGGTGCTTATCCACTACGCCCCCGCGCTACTATGAACGATATCTTTATGGAATTGTGTAACTTAAAGTCACAATCGCTTTTGGAACGAATGGTGATTTGAATGGTATAAAGTTTGACATTCCCCAATAGTTTTCAAAAATATTTGTAACAATCATTTTGCTTAGACACTTCCGATTAACGTCAAATAGACGTTCACATTTAACTATGTACTTTCAAAAAAAACGTCGCGATCACAATTACTATCACATAGTAAAATAGCTGTAGCGTGAATTTCATGGTTATCTTTCAAATGCCAAATCCAAAATGACTGTGATAGATTCTAAAATTATACAATTAGGCCAAATACAATTAGGCATTTAATAGATTCTAAAATTTATTACAATTAAGAGTTCGTTCTTGAAATTATTATCTATCCTCTGAAGATTATGTTCTTAATATTAATGAATTTATTATAAAAAAGCCATAAAAAAAAAATTGCATTTGTAGCAGTTTTGGCAATCATTTCATTTAGTTATAAATACTTATGGATTTTCAGCAGACATTTATTATTGCGTATGTTATATTGATAAATATGTTAGTTTTAGAACCAATATTTGTATTGTGAAATTCTATAATAACTTTAATATTATGAGAAATAGTTTTTAAAACTCTATTTAGCGCAAAAGAGTTAATTTTTTAAGTAAGCAATTATACGGATCAATAGCCTGTCTAATTTCAAAATCTGTCTTGCGGCGTTATAGCAATTCTGATACCGATTTGAGGAATCACTTAACTATTAAAGTCACAAACACTTTCGGAACGAATGATGATTTGAATCAATAAGTTTCAACTCTTTTGTATAACATTTCTGAATAGCTTTCAAAGTAATATTTGAGTTTAACGCTTGCCTTAGACATTTTCAATTTACGTCAAATTAATTTTTATTAATTTTTATTGAACGATATCATTAATTTTCAATCGTTAATTTTATTTAACGATATCGTTCAATCAATGGCAATGGCAATCAAACATAAAAACGTAGCCGTCGTAATAGCTATTAATATGTCAAATAGTTATACCGTGACGTCCGTTAATATCTTTCAAATGAAAAATTAAAGAAACTTGTGATAGATTTTAAAGTTAATCAATTAGACTCCAGAACAAATGAGTGCCCCAAGGAACACATATAGGTCCTATATTTTATAACACAACACAATAGCAAATTTTGACTTACCGAATGCGTTTTGAGGTGAGCTTGATGCGTATATTTAGATGCGAAAGTCTTCTCGCAAACTGCACAAGTGTAAGGTCTTGTGCCATAGTGCACATTCATATGTTCATTGAGTATGGTCCGTGAGTTATATTTCTTTCCGCATTCTGTACACTCGTGTAGTTTAGATTTGCTCAACATCGATCTATTTTCAGAAGCGTGTTTCTCTAAAAAAGTAAAAAAAATAAAAATTCTACTCATGTATTTCCGTGTTCGCCTGCGTAAATTAGTACAAAAGTTTCGAAGCCTATTAATTGCAAACAGACAATCCTCTTTAATATCAGTATAGATGAATATAGTTTAAAGTTTATTTTAAATTATAAAAGTTTTTTTTATACTATTTGCAATTACTAAAGTTAAACAAGTTTCGCAAAAGCCTTTCATCATATGGATGACTAAAATTTTACTAAGTCGAACTCTCCTATGCTTTGAAATACACGAGGACGTCGATATCAGCGGATACTGCAATCTTTGACAATTTATCCACATGAGCTTGGGTTATTAGTAGATAAATTTAGAAAAATCATGCTGAGATAATGGGATCACCTTGGGTATTTCAATAATTATGACACTGACTGTACAGTCCACAGCATGATAAATTATACAACTCTGTCAAATTTCTCTACTCGATTTTAAACCTTAATGTTATGAGGGTAGAGTTTAAAATCAACTGAAGAATTTAGACGTATCGTGAGCCACATCACTTGTGTCTTGATGTCTGGGTTAAAAAATCTATTTAGCCCGTCAATGAGTTTATAGAAAGTATTAAATACGTATTTATTTTTGCTTCAATTCAAGAAAAAAATGCTTAGATAACATGCATTTAAGTTTAGGAGTGGGGGCTCACTATTTCACAGCTTAGTAGAAAATGTGCAAAGGCGTAACGTCATATAGCATATCAACTAAATATATCACCGTAATTTTTTAATTACGCAAAAATACGTGCTAAGTAACTGTTAGATAAAAATAATCTAATCTTTTTTTTAACGCATAGAAATGCGTTACGCAACCTGACGGATTAACAAAAATTGGTCATAATTGTAAATAATATTATGATGTGATAAGCAAGAATCGAAATTACTTACCAACATGTACAGAGTATTCTGTCCGTTTCCTTATAACCACTCCACACACGGGGCATATGTATGCACGTGCGTTATGTTCATTCTTCAAATGAGCCATTATACTAGAAGGATCACCTTTAACGACTTCTTCTTAAAAGCGAAAAACAAAAAAAAACATTATATTTTATTAATACAAAGTATTAATCTCGGTGGCTTAGCGGATAAGCGCCGCGGCCCGCGAACGTTGTTTTAAGCAACTTTCGCAATGGTCAGTCACGGGATGGGTGACCAATAATTTATTATCTCGAGCCGCTTCGAAAGGCACGTTAAGCTGTTGGTCCCGGTTGCATTTTGCTATAGTTAATACCCTCCAATGCGGATTGGGCCAGCGTGAAGGGTTATGGCCCATTCTCCTTAACCAACCATAAGGAGATCTTGAGCCCCTGCAGTGAGGACATAATACAGGGCTGATGATGGTGATGATCAAAGGACGTTTTAACGCTAAACTTCTGAACCAATAGGGGCGTAGACGACTTTTTAATATTTTTATTTTATAGATATACATGAAATATATCTAAAAAAAATATTTAAAAAACCTATCGTTCGATTAATAAGTTTAACGTTAAAAATTTCGCCGCTGGCGTCTCTATGACGTTACGGTCCTCTGAAACTAATATCGTTCTATTATGCATGAGGTTCAATTCTATAAGTTCTGATATGAGTAAGAGGGGCGTGACGTCTTACGCTGTTTGCGGTCACGTGACAACTAGTATTTACAAGTATGTTTTTACATAATTAATTTAAGCAATATTATAAATATAATAATCAGAAAAAAAATATTGCCCCTTATTAAAACCTACCTTTATTTACATTGCGTTCACAGAGTAAGCATTTGTAAATATTTTCTCTGTCATTTTCTCGCTCAACGATGTTCTGAAGCTGCAATCAAACGAAAATAACTCATATTGTGACAGTCAAAAGTACATTTTTGTTATAGCACGTTTGTTAGGTCAAATTACGAAATTCTCTCTGTTATATTTATATATATCGTTAATATTTAAGGTTCACTTTACTATGACAAAATGAACTACATGCATATGTGTGAGCGAAATAGCAATATGTTTGTGCACGAGTGAAAGAGATGTGTAATGCCGGGTCGTTATTCTCTCTGTTCAGGGACCGTACATAAAAGATTATTCAGACTTTTTTAGCCATAAACCACTGAAAAATGAATAAAATCGCAGGTATTAAGAATAAAAATGATGGTACAGTCAACAGGACCTCAGTTTAAACGGATATGTCAAATTTCTCCACTGGACTTTACATCTTAATAACGTTTATTAACCGACTTCAAAAAAAGGAGGTTATCCATTCGAGGTGTATGTATGTAATTTAATTGTAATGACTTTATATTCATATAGGTTGGTCTATATGGGCTTCTAAATACGTGTGAAAATTTTATAGATGTATGTATGTTCGTCCACGGATATCTCGCAAACTAGAAGTAGGATTAAAAGCAATTACACAAAAAAAAGAAAGCCTAATTGCCACAACGCGAAGTCGAATAGCATACCAACCACGACACAGATTTCGCTGTGTGGGTATTATGGGAATGCCACAACGCGTTGTGAACTATTTTTTCGTTCAATCAGCGATTTCAATCTTTCCACTTCTAATGTTTTTATTTAATTGATAACAACATTTTTGGTATCAATTGTCTCTTTTCAGTCGTTTCTCTTTATTACGATTTATGAAATCGGTTTAATTTTTTTACACTTCTACATGCAAAATTATCGGATGTTTATGACATTTGGTTTATGGATATATTATTTATGGATAATACGTATGATGCCAGAGTAAAAAAAAAGAAATCCTCTTTATTCCGTTACTCATATAACAGAAAAATATTACAATCACATTTTTTTCTTTATTTAAAAAAGAAATAACTTAGATAACAGGCATTAAATTTGAGGATTGGGGGCGTCACAGTTTTGTAGTAAATGCATAAAAGCGTGACGTTATTCATTGATAACGCAAAAAACATACATGTTAAATATTCTTCTATAGTCTACCTGGCGGACAGACAAACGAATTGTCATCATCCCTATTCTAAGTCTAGATTAACATCCAAGAAATTAACAAAAAGCACCATCAAGTCATCATGTAAACATTATAATATAAATATTATAAAGAAAAAAAAATTACCGTTAATTTATCCTATTAATATTATAAATGAGAAAGTTTCTTTGTTTGGATGTTTGCCGGTCAATCACGCCAAAACTACTGAACGGATTTTGATGAAATTTGGTATACAGGGTATTAGCTGACTTAGATAATAGGATACTTTTTATAGCACTTAACATTTCCCTAGGGTCCACGCGGGCGAAGCCGCTGGCGAAAGCTAGTATTAAATATGCTGGAAACTAATGCACCGATTTTTTAAATTCTTTCACCTACAAGAAGTTACATTATACGCGGGTAAAATAGGCTAATTTAAACGGGCGAAGTCGCGGGAAAACATAAATAGAATTAACTCACATTCGCTGTATCATTATCGTCTTCTACTTGGCTTCTTTTTATTGACTCCACGCGGTACATCTCACCAGAATCTACTTTGATGAAAGCGCCTCCTGTATTTTAAAACAGATAAGTATCACCATCACCTATTAATGTTCCCACTGTTGGATGGAATCGAAGGGAGAATGGGCCATGAAAAACGACGCGGACCCAGCGTCGATTGGTGGGTATTAACGACTGCAGATGCTGCCGGGACTAACGGCTTAACGTGCCTTCCGAAGCACCGAGGAAGCACGATAAATTTTTGGTCACCCATCCTATGGCCGGCCATTGTAATAGTTCCTTAACATCCTTATCGCATAACCACTGCGAATTAAACCGGTCATTGCAAAAGTGGCTTTACAACCTTATCATAGATCATGCACGATAACCACTGCACCATATAGATAAATCTATTTGTTCTCAAATGAAAATTCAAAATTGTTAAAATCATATCTTTGAAGATTACTTGCGATTGCGCAGAGATAGTGTCAGATCTTACCTCCGATGCATCATAAATTATTGAAATGTACGTTTCTTTGGAGTCGTATTAGTTCGAAAATAGATGAAACAATCATGTACAGTTAGTTACCATACTATAATAATTTAAATTATTTTTTGCTTAAAACATAATAATATTTAAGCATCTTTTCATCTGGAGGCCTATAAGATTAGTAATTTGTAAATAATGTTATAGGTTATTATGAGTTTAAAGCTATCAAAAGCTGACATAATTATGAAACTACTTAAAAATTAATGCATTTAAATTAAAGCTTTTTAAAATTTGACTCATAAGTATGGAAATTAATCAAAATGTAATTGTTAATGTACAGTTTATTACCATATGCATTTTCCATTCCTACTTTATTTTAATATTTAATCTCCTGATATGAAATAAGTAAAAATAAGGTATATTTTGAGATATACCACATCCTTAGACTTTAGGTCAAAATTGGACATGATTCTTTTGTTCATATCTGAAATTAAATATTTTTGTCTTGTCGAGTGAACGAATGAACTTGCGAGTGAATGAATGAACCGTCATTACCTTCATGTTGCGCAGCGGTAATGAGAGCGTTCGCTATTTCCTCGTCGCCTGACACCTGTAACTCTATTTGTGACGAGTCATCGTTGGAATCTGAAATATTTTCAAATCAACAGTTAAACGTTATAGGTACTTATTCAAGCTTTTTAAGGTATTAATAATTGTAGTAATCTAATGCATCCGCCATTTTGTTTTTAAGAATGTCTAATACCGTGTATTCTTAACCTGTGATACTCGAAAAAGGTTTTTACATTTGCAGTATTAAAAATAAATGTTCCAATTGTTGTTATTTATCAAGGGGTCCTTGGAACTTGTGCCCGATTTCCAGGATATCCGTGGCTGAGGGAAGTTTTGACAATTCTCTTTACTGATATTATAAAGAGGAAAGATTTGCTCGTTTGTTTGTTAACATCGAATAGTATCCAAAACTAGTGGACTGATTTTTAAAATACATTCATTCAAATCATCTGTTACAATCTACCCATCTCTTTTGCTCGTGTGCAAATATATTGTTATTGCACTCGCACAGATGCATCTATTCAATTTTGTCACAGCAAAATGAACCTTAACGATTAAACTATTACTATATCTATCAGTAGACACGTCATCAGCCCTTTTACGTCCCCGCTGCAGGGGCTCAGGCCTTCCTTATGGATGGTTAAGGAGGATGGGCCATGACCCTCCACGCTGGCCCAATGCGGATTGGAGAGTATTAACGACTGCAAATGCAGCCGGGACCAACGGCTTAACGTGCCTTCTGAAGCACGGAGTAACTCGAGATAATAATTTTTTTGGTCACCCATCCCGTGACCGACCCTTGCGAAAGTTGCTTAACGACTACGATCGTGGGCCGCGGCGCTTATCCACTACGCCACCGAGCTATCAGTAGACACGTACTTACGAAATTCTTTTTGTTATAGTCTAAAATATTTTATTTTAGTTTACAGTACACTAACTCGAGGGTAAACTAGTTGATAAGCTCAATATTTACTTACCTAGACTGTCCACATTTTCGTTGACGTCATTATCACATTTTTCCACCAGTGATATTTTTTTACCATCGTAGAGGACCCTCTGACCGGCTCCCATGCGTATGATTGTAGTTCTCTCGCCCTCTTCCATCACTATCGTATCTAATATAAAAGAGGGAGACAGATATTTTCATTCAAAACTAAACCAATGTGTTTGAGAGCAAAATAAAAAAATATAATATGTGTAATACGTAACAAAGTTTGCAATGCTGCAATGGAAATCGGACAACTTAAAAAAAAACTGTTTTAAATTGACGCTCTAGTAGTGGATTCATTGATTGGCTGATGATATAAACAAATTATAATCTTTCCTGTTAAGGTGAACATATGAATAATAAAATTCTCACCATCTTCCTCATCATCGCCCCCCTCATTCAGTATTTTTAACTTATCCAATATATAAGTTCCATCCTTCTCACTATCTTTAACACCATCTTGTGATAGCAATAGGCCAACATCGAAAAAGTTTGATTTGGATTTCAAGTCGATCGTTTTGTTCTGTAATTATAAATGTAATAACAATAATTATAATCGCCTTGCTATATCATAAGGGGCCATCCGTAAATTACTTTTATAAAATCCAACACTCCTCCCCTCCTTAACCCCTACCCTCTAGTTTGTCAACATGTGACGTCATTTATAGATGGCCCCTAAAGGTAAAATTAGCTTCAGATGTAAAATAAGGTTAAAAGTCATGTAACGTTTTGAGAGTGTATGATTTTCGTTCTTCATTCAAAGAAAATCCAACGATCCCGATTATAATTAAACCCCCCTTAGTTTTTATTTAAATGTTATTGTCAAAAATTATTATGGGAGGGTAATATTTTTTTGTACCTTCCAAATCCAATATGGCAGACGTCTCGAAATAGCGACTTCAATAATATGGCTTGTTGAAATAAATAGGATGAGTTAATGAACACGGACAAATTACGATTTTTTAATAATGACCTTTAGATCTTTATGTAAAGCTTCTAATTGAAAATCTCAACTCATCAAAAACGTACATATTATCTTCGTCGAGTGTAAAGTGAATCACTTTGAAAATCACGGATCTAATCAGTATAATTCTGTATATGCTACCTTATTCATTTTTTTACGACGTCTTAAACAGTTAATATTTGTTCACAATGTTAATGACGTTATACATCGACAATTTGTAGACCAACATGGCGGCATATTTTGTCTAGGCAAAGTATGACGCCACTAACATTGTAAATAAATTTTGACGTTAATATCAAGTATAATCTGACATGACAAATCTAATACGTGACATTGACGTTTATTTGTTTACTATATGTATGACGTCATACATATTGTGAACAAATTTCAAACGTATCAAATAAAAACAAAAATCAAAAACTTTAATTGAAAATTTAAATTAATCTTGCCTTGTTTAATAATATAATAGATAAGATTTATTTTTCCAAGCCAATTACTATATGAAATACTCATTATTGTACAAAATTAGATAGAAGTCAAGTAACCTATCGACTTCATTAATAGAAATTAAATTCATACCTTTAAAGGACTCGACTCGAACACAAGTTTACCATTGTCATTTGTGGCAACAGCCACTGCCAATGTGCAATCTAGAAACCAAAATATTACCTTTGACAAATTTATTTTCAACACACTCAACAGCACATTAGAACATATAAAACTATCAAATACCACCACTTAATTTCAAATTTTAATGCATTGAGAGTATATGTAAAAATCAATCGAAAATTTTTGATATAAAAATATACAAATTTTCTTTTAAAGACATGAATGAATTAATAAAATAATTTTATTCTTTTTGCACTAAAAACCGGCGAAGGGCGAATCCTACTCGCGCACCTAGAGTTCCGTACAAACCTGTAGGTATTTATTAAAAATATTTAATTACGTGATGTAACTAAAAATTTGCGGTTTTCGCAATTTTTCCTTTATCGTTGCTTCGTATCAAATTTCAAGATACCGAGTTGACGGGAAGTACCCTATGGGTTTTGATTGCCTTGCTAGTTTCGAAAATTTGCGGCATAAACGGCTGTATCTTTTTACTGCGTTGGCTGAGAAGTTTTATTATGTCACAGCTCCAAGGGACAGTAGACCTGAGTATTTGATATAAATTTCAGCTGTATACCTTCACATCTTCCTAAGAAAAAGGGTCTTGACCTAAGGACGGCGAGACGGACAGACAACAAAGTAATCCTATAAAGTTTCCTATTGAGGTACGGTACCCTAAAGATGAATACATATAACAGATAGAAATAGAAGGAGGAATATCATGCAATTACCGCTCTTATTGTTAAAGCTGACTTGTATTATATTACATTTACATTATACTATAAAGAAGTTCCATGTATAATCATACCTTCATCAATCTCCATTTCCTGGTCACCATTATTTTCTTGTTCAACTTTAATACCTTTACCGACAGTAGAAGACAGCAAATCCTTTGGCAAAGAGTTGACATTGAAACTTAAGACCGGCTTCTTCTTTGGTGCCATTCTGTTTGGTGTCACTAGAGATGAAATAATCTTATCGCTTATAGTGAAATCCGTCTTTAAAGGGGACGTTATCGTATTTGTATTGGAGAGTGTTAGTTTCGGTTGGCTCGTTGGCATCGCTGAGCTCGATAAGCTTTGTGTAAGAACCGTTGAACCGACAGTTACTCTTAAATTAACAGACGGTTTTGATACTATAGGCTGTAAAGAAAAAAAAAATATTTGAGTAAATTAATATATCACTATTAAAGGTATAGATAGTCCCAATCGCTCTTGGATTGAACAGTGATTTGAATGATCAAGATTGCAAGTCGAAAGATTGCAGTTAGCTTTAAAAAATTAGATAAAAAACATTTTATATTTTAAGATAAACTCAATAATAAGTAAAAATAAATAACAATTACCTTAAGGATTGCTTGTGGCATGCCCAAAGATGCAACATTGGACAGTGTCAACTGCGGCCTCGATACCGTAACATTTTTACCGATATCCAGAAGAAAATTGGCTGGAACCGGTTGTAACTTTGAAGCTGGCAACACAATCTTCTTCGCTGCATGCTTGACGGGAGACGTACCATATGTATCATAGTTGATATTGTTTAGTCGTAATGTTTTCTTCCAATCTTCTATAAAGCTATTTTTCAGTACCTGTAATCTGGAAAATAAAAGGAAATTATTATCTAGATTTATTCCGTGCTTCAGAAGGCGCGTTAAGTCGTTGGTCCAGGTTGTCCTTGGAGTCGATAATACGCATCGGGCCAGCGTGAAGTGCGGAAGTATCCCACGTAGGCCGTGGAACCGATATTTTGCTAAAGATACGTGGTATATTTTTAATTCATCTATATTTGGGTGTTGCATAGTCCAAACAAGTGGTTCATGGCAAGATAGAAATTTGTTAAATGAGGGACCATTTAACAAATTTCTATCATGCCATTATTTATTGCATTCAAAAACAGAAATGGCGGAGTTAAAGCCAAGGCATTCTCTACCAGTCTACCAGAAAAAGATGGAGTTTGGATTTTAGGCGATAGGAATAAAAAAGTAGTCAAAATAATTATTATAACTAAACAAAATATCAACAAATATATACGATATACATATATATCATGACTATGACATAAATTAATACTGTACAGAATGCGTACTGTATGACATAACTACATTTGTAGATAGTGCTATTTACTGAAAGGTTGAATAAAAGAACCATTGCACTGAATACATTAGCACCCACTAAGTTTCAGACATGTTGAATATTCTTGCTGTTCAAGAATATTAAAAAATTACTTTTTTCAGCTGCAGTGTATTAGTGTAGTCTAGTATCCTTACCTTATCTTTAATGAGTCAAATTCACTGACAGTGGCGTAACATGTTCTACATAAAATTTCACTATGACAGCTGCTTTTATTTAATTGTTTCTCAACAATTTCACTCAGTGTTTCACTGATTTTACTTCTTGACTGAAGAGGACACTGAAATCATAATTATCACTAGTATTTTTTTCCTTGTTTTTGTTTACTTATTTATTAATTTGAAACTAACAGCTACAGTTACAAACAACTTAAACAAAAATAGAATGTTTTATATTTATAACAAAAATAGTATAGTTAGCCATACACCATAAACCTATTTCAAAAATAGAGCTGCCAAGGCACGCCTCCAGTTGAGCCTAGATTAGACTCAAAAGGTAGCTTTCAATTCCTCATCTTGGTAATATGCACAAACGACTATTTAAATAGCAATCAGATTATTAATGTCCCCATTGCTGGGGCTCAGGCCTTCCCTATAGATGCAATCAAACTGAATAGGCAGAATGGATCATGACCCGTCACACAGACCCAGTGCAGATTCGTGACAGCCAGCACCAATGGCTTAACATGCCTTCCGAAGCACGGACGAATTCAAAATAATATAGTTTTGGTCACCCATCCTATGACCGGCTATTATATCGATAAATTATAGATACAAGTTTTCAAATTTAGAAGATTTATTAGAACATAAAAACGACATTAAACCTTAACAAGCGTTTGTGCCATTGGCTAGGGTAGCTTGTTGTTCTGTGTCTTTCTAACAGAGTATATACTAATATATCAACCAATCTATGTTCCAGAACTTTGTAATGTGTACACCAGTTAAAGCTCCATCTTTATTTATAAATATATATTAATCTCAAGACAACAACATTAAGTTACTACAATAAAAAGAACAAACTCAACAATAAATTTTGAACTTAATTCAGAACAGACTAAGGCTTAAAATGGAGTAACTTGGTTTATTGCAGTAACTCTGGTGTGTGTTAGCAATATATAAAGTTAAAGAATTTGTATGTTTGTAGGTAGTTGTAGTTGTGTATCCTCATTTATTGAGCTGAGTCTGCACTGCATTTAAATACCTAGTAGAAAACGCAAAACTGCATATATTATTAATCTAATTAAGGTATTTATTAATCTTAATTGCCTAGATCTAATACCAAAAAGGCATTATCTACTTGTAAAATTAAACATAGGTTAATATGTAATGTTATACTAATAATATCCTAACATAACAACTATATCTATATATATATATATACAAACATAGATTACGGTATCCACATTTCCAGTGGGCTAATGCATGAGTTTCTACAGAAGGTGAAGCAGACTACAAAATTTCCCACTAGTGTTTAATTGCAGTAGGATCTGAGCCTTACGGAAGTAGGAGTCAATATTTTAGATATGAAATGTCATTTATTTATATACACAAACAAACCTTATCAATAACATTATTAAAATTTAATATTAAAAATATGACTTACATCATCTTCAAATATATTTATGCCTTTACTTACGATTGCATTGCAAGAGAAGCAATTTGCAACCATTCTGAAAAAAAAAAGACTTTTATTCATACTTTTTAAAGTACATATTATCAATAAGTATTATACCTTATATGGTAGCAAAATACTATAATAATTGAATACTTGACTGTATTAGTAAAAGTATTTTAAAAGATTCATGTGATCATATTAAACCATTATTAAATTTATTTTTCTCTAAGTGTTATAAAACAAAGGTAAAGATATTTATATTTATTCATTTCAATTTTCCATAATAACTGAATAGGATTTTGTAAAATTCAACCCCTAAAGGAGTCGTTTTTGGTGTTGATAGTATGTATGAAGTTCATGCTAGAAATCTTAAATTTTGCATAGGGTTCTTTAAAGTATTCAGAATTAATTTTTTCCTGATATTTAGAACATTTGGTTAAGTGATTAAGGTACTGGTTTTGATTTCATATTATCGTTTCTTTATAACCAAATTTCTAGATTGTTTTGTACCTAGATTTAAAAAAGTAAGATATTGTAATAGAAAGACACATCTTCATACTCAAAGAAATATGAAAAAAACGACTCTGATGGTCAAAAGTGTTATATGTCTTCCAAAAGGCAGCAAATGAAAAGAATATTATTTTTCATGATGTTGCAAAGATATGTACTTATGTATATGAAGGTACAGCCCCCATATTAAAAGAATTTATTCCCGATAGTAAAAGAATTTACCTTGTAACAGAGTACCCCAGATAATGGGACACAGTGTTACAATCTACTTGTTATATTAATAGGCAATTTAAATTAGATTGTTGCTAATTATAGTCATGTTTTAATAATTCGAAGTAAACTGGGATTGTTATAGTTTATATCCAAGTTGAATAAAAGTTGATCAAATAAATAATTTCGTCGCAACATCGTAGCTTTTTTTTTGTAACACTGTGCCCACCTTACTTGACAAACATACTCATTTATATAAATTTTTGTAACAAATGAAGGTTAACCAATTGAAAATACCAATTAAATAGTTACGTAATCTCCATGAAATTCTCATAAATCTTTTAATCAGAAGTGTTTGTTGTTGTTTACATTCTTATCTCTTATCAATTTAAAATTCAAAACGATGTTACCACCATACACACAAAAATTGTCATTGCGAGTTCATAATTCAAACAAGAGAGTCAACCACAATTATTCAATAAAGGCAGCCATTTTGCCACTCCTAACGATACAACACATTCATAGAAGAACATACATTTTAGCGTAAAAATAATACATATTATTATTTAAATTACCTGCAAAATTTACAAAGTTAGATCAGTCAACCATCGAATTTATTCGTTTCTAAAGGTTTCCAAATTCAGTCTTGCAAAAATAAGTTGTCAGCAATGATTCCGATACACAGGCAGACACCATTAAGTTTTTAATTTATTGACATGACGTGACCACAAGGGTTGCAGACGATTCGTCGATATTATAATATCGATGATAAAAGTCTGTCTTCAGACGTATCTATCACCGCTTTACGATTTTTAATAAATAATAATTTAATTTTATTTCACAATACCATAATACCTTGTCCGCATTGCGATTAAAATTCCGTGTGATTTTTGTCAGTTTTATGTAGCTTCTAGTCGAGATGAACGTCTAAAAGACCGACCAAGTGCGATCATACTCGCAATCACGTTTGTTGTCAGGAAACGACCAAAAAAATCACGTTTGTTGTATCGAAGCCCACCTTAAATATTTATTTGTTTCTGGTTTTTAGTATTTGCGAAAAATGGGTGAGATTGCGTTTTTTTCCGCAAGTGCAGATATTTATCATGTTTGTTATTATTATTATTATTATTATTAAAAACTAATGCATTTTATAGAGTTGGTATAGAATATGAGTTTAAATTATGTTAGTAGAAATTCTGTATTGTCGCAATGAGGTAGTAGGAAAGGTAGTGTGTTTAATTTTTTGTATTGAAAGAAGTTAGGAATAATTAAGTTGGATCGAGTAGGAGTTAATTGTTTGAGGTTTTTATGATAAGTTGGATCGAGTAGGAGTTAATTGTTTGAGGTTTATGTAATAAGTTGGATCGAGTAGGAGTTAATTGTTTGAAGTTTTTTATGATAAAGTAAGTCGAATAGGAGATGAGTTAGCTAAATAATTTTTATATAGCTGAAGTTTTGTGGTAAACAAAGTCGAGAAGAAGATAAGAAAGTTTGTTTTAAGATGTTAGGTTTAGAGACAGTTAGGGATTTATATGTGTGTAATGTAAAGGGGTATACAGGAGTTAATAGAGGTTAGGTAAAATGGATCTGAGAGATAGGGAATAAGAAATATATATCTACGGTAGTTTTGGAAGTAATTCTAAATTAATGTTTGTATTGTAATGGCAGGTAGAACAGATTGAGGGGGTGTGTTGAGGGAAACCTTCTTTGTTTAAGATCTTTTTAATTAATCTAAATTTAAATATTGACATTTTGACAATCTGTTCTGCACATGCGCGTCTATTGTTATTATATTTAAAAAATAATAATAACAAACATGATAAATAAATAAACTCAGGTGATCTAAAAGCACCCTGGTATTTCTCTATACCCTTCTTACCATCGGGTATCAATATCATGGTTGATCAATTTTTTTCGAAACGATTTAGGATAACCACGATGTCCTAGTACGATAAACTGGATAGATTGATTTCATCCATTAAGAATACCTGTGTTTTCGCACAACCAATCCGCATTAGGATATTCATTTGGGCTCAGTTAGGAATACTGGGTGGATTCGTTTTATTCATCCTAGATAAGAATATCTGTGGTTTAACGCTACCAATTCGCATTGGCACTACACCTACACTCGGGTCAAGTGACAAATGCCGGGTAGTTAACATGTTTGATCTGGGTATTAGAAGAGTTTTACGATACGAGTATACTTCTGGGTTGTTATTCTTGTAAAGGAATTGGAATCGGCATGGTGTTTTTAAACATATCAATTGAATAGTAATATGTGTCTTTCAGTAGCAAATAAAAGTTTGTTGTTTGTAATTAGCATAAACATAATAATGTGATGTATTTCGTGTAACTTTAAGAATAATGATGCCGGTTGTATCAAACCGTAAATTTAATTTCCAAAGAAACACCAAAGCAATGTTATTTATCTGCGATTGACAACTAAGTTATTTTGGACGTGTGTGGTCACGTGATGTTAGACTATATATAGATTTAAGAAGATATAGATTTAAGACGGTCAAAAAGCGTAGCGTAGCATAAATTCGAGGTTATTTTTTAGCAGATAACAAAATTTAAATGAACGTTTTGGCGGCTTTTAAATCAGCCGTCTTGATGAATGGGCCAAATGACATAATTATACAACTAGAAAACAAGACGTGCCTTTGAATGATTTAAACGACTAGCCGCCCAGTTTAAACTAGTTGGCCGCAACAGCACAGATCGAAGACTTGGTCGTAACTGATGACCTCTTGTTATTGTTGTGTTTGTCGCCGCTGCGTAATTATAGCGCGTCTCGCTCTGGCAGGCTCAATAAAAATATCGATATATTAAGTTTGATATATATCGGTTACATTCGATATCGATATATCCCTTCACAAAGCAGATATATAGAATTATTTTAGATCTTATGTAAATTCAAAAGACTTTGTTTGCAAAACCTCATGTAAATTTATTTTATATTCGTTTTTTCATAAACCTAAATTAAAATCGGTGATGGCTTCTGAATTTAGGAACAATAGCTTGAACAGCCGACTTCCGTGAATCGATATGTTGCTCGATGGCGATATCACTGTTTCTTTGATGTCGATATTGATGAGCATCGATATATATCGGTTTTCTGATATAACGTGCGTGTCTAGATAAAACGACTGCCGCGCTGTTTGTCGCACAAACTATAATAATGCCAAAGGTTTATAATTTAGTTGGCTGCTAGCGTTGAAGTGATAACCGATAGGAGCACGGTTGCTGAACACAGAAAACTTCGTACAATAACCTGGCATTACATATCTTTTCACCAGTAAACATATTTTTAGCACAAATGAATCTATCCAATTTTTTCATGTTTTTTTTTTTTACGATAGCAACACGCACAAGCATAAAGGTCAACGTACGAAATTATTTGTGTTCGGCGATCATGCCAAGACTATGCTATTTTTTAATATAGCATGACAAGAGTTTCATGTTGTGCTGTGCTACATTAAGTATTCTGTGCCAAGGCTAGCTTCAAAGACTACAGCTAGCTTGGTAGCTCGAAAAAACAGTGAACACATTTTAATAGTTTTAGTAGTCTTTGTTTTGTTGTTATGTTGTTGTGTTTTTGATGTTGTTTTGTTTTATTAATTTATTAAAGTTACTCCTTGGTTTGCTTTATAGAAAAGTTAAAAATGAATTTTAAAACAGAACCAGAGCAGTCAAACTCGAGCCCATTCAAAAAGTTTGATAACCCGCGCAAGAAAAGAAAAAGAACACACTTTAGTGAATCAGAGAAGGTAATGATTAATAACGTATTTCAGTACGTTAAAGAGTCTTGGCCTGCTGATAAATATCCTTCAAAAGAAGGAATGAAGGAAAAAGCAGCCGATATCTTGGGCATATCGAAATCTGCCATATATCGTATTTTAAAAGAACACTCTGAAACAAATATTGTAAAGCCTAAGCCAAAACCAAAACGTCTTTCATTAATTGAAATGTTTGATGATTTCGATAAATCACGCATTAGACGAATAGTGCACAGCTTTTATTTAAAAGGAGAGTTACCTACAACAAAAAAAGTACTGCATGAGATAAATGCAGATGACTCCTTACCTAATATGGGCTTGACATCACTGAAAAAGTTTCTAAAACTATTAAAATTTAAGTACAGCAAACGAATGACATATAGCGTGATAATAGACAAAGATAACATAGCATTGTGGCGTATCAGGTATTTAAAAGATATGAAAAAATATCGAGAACAAGAACGACCAATATATTATTTAGATGAAACTTGGTTGAGTACTGGTAAAATTTTTAGTTCTATTACATGACATCTTAAAAACTCATCCCTTTTCACA